CCCTTGACTTGAGCAACTCTAATGTCACTGCAAGCATATGTTAGAAAAGCTTTCGTTCATTAGCTGCATCTCTTAGAATAGTCTACTCACTTTTCACGTGCATGCGTCCGTGGATCATGGGTCCATCATCTGAATCGTAGAAGTACTCGATAAGAAAACGTTGTGATCCAGATTCACCAGATATGCTTACAACATCACCGGCTTTGAGCTCTAAACTTGAAAACAGAGCCCTTTTGTATAATGTACAACCTTCTTGGGTCTTATGTGAGTACTCATATTTCCACTTCACTTTAGATTTATAGTACTTCCACGACTCTTGCTTTGTAGTGCTGTTTCTTGTTGACTTGAGCCTCATACCTAAATTGCACAAGCTCTCCAAACATTAGACATACTTAATTCATCATTGCATATTGTGAGTTGTAAAGATTTACTTAATTAATTCTTTAAAATTTCTCCAAGAGCTTTTTGGGAGCTCTCTTCTATAGTCACAGTTTAATCAGCCCAACTAAATCTATCTAAATTAACATGTTTTATCAAACTATGTGAATTTATCACAATACATTGTCTTTAAGGTTTTTATATTATATTCATTTTTATGACTATTATATTTTACATCTTCAAATTCATCATTATCGTCTTGTTTCATGTAATTATAATGATGATTTTCATAAAAAATATGATTTACAATTTGAAAATAATGAACTCAAAAATAAATTGTTACAAATCAAAAAATATTTCCAATTTTTTTTAATAGTTTTTTTACACATTTAAAATTTGTTTACAAATTTTTGATATGAAATTCATTTCCAACAATTATGAAACTAAAAATTTCGATTTTTCAATTATTATATCAACTCGTCACCATGCATTTCAAATGTTCAATTAAATGTTAAATATTGATTTCTCTAGATACCTACATTTTTTTCCTTGCTTATCAAGAATGAATGTTGTCAAACCATCATTTGCGTCACTTATCAAATATAAAAAAAATTAATGCAAATTTAATAACTTTTGATGTCATCTAAAAAATCAGTAGACACTAGCAAAAATGATGTCAATTATTAAATAATAAATATTTTCCATGAATTGATTATTTCAAATAGTAAAATTTTCCAACAATTTTTTATTTCATTTTTCACAATGATAAATTTCATAAACATAAAGCTCATAATTGTAAAAGAAATTACTAATTCAATGAAAGTTGCCCTAGAAATGTCAAAATTTACAACAAAATGAGTTCAGAAAAATGAATTATTGCAAATAGTCTCATTTATCATTCTAAATCAAATAACATTTGTATGTTATAATGTCATTGTGTTTAATGTTATTGTGTAGACAACGTCCGGTATGTTTGCATTGAACACACAAAGGTTTGGTATTCGATAGAAAGATATCAAATGAGACAGTTATAAGCTTTTTCATCTGGAATGGTTTGTTCTATGGTAGCCAACTGATTGAAAAGAAGAATTGTGTGATGTGTTTCGCCACAAACTCTCATGTCTTCATTTTTAGATAATGCAATTATTTTCTTAGATGAAGTTGCATCAGTATGTGCCGCGATTCGAAGCCTTGTGTTAGATTGATCCAGACCTCCGCTATTATCATATAGCGAGAGATTATGGGCTATTGATGAGGCTCAAACCATTATTCAACACTGTCAAGAAGATGATTCTATCATCCCATTCCTTCTTACTTTTGACGCCGGACTCATATGTGTTGATTGTAGAAGCAGATGGAATGATCGACCGAAGCTCGGTACCTTCGATGAAGTCCATCAATCCTACAACTTGAAGTATCCAACTTATTTGATCTTTTAATGAATGGAAATGCTCACCATGAAATTTGGATAAATCCTTTCATGCAACTCGGATGGAAGTTCATGGAAAATTTATCTTCCTCAAAATGTCTCTTTTGATTCACATTCTTCATGATGTGGTGTAGAATGCTAACCTTGATGTTGGAAATTTTCAAAAAACTTCACGAATTCGTGAAATATTGCTTGAATTTCAGTAATCTTTAAAATTTCAGACAAAATTTAAAAAATTTCTTCAATTTGGTATATATCAACGCTTCGATCAGCAATGACAATTCTTTGATAAATTTGACATGTATAGCATCAAACAGGGAATCTTGGAGAGATTCACAGGTTCGGTGTTTTTGACAATAATGATATTTGATTATTGAAATTTGGAACCTGACGAGGTTTCAGGATCTCGGAAAATTGCTCTCATAGGTAGCACGGAGGTGATTCAAAGAAAAAAACGTACTTCGTGCTTGTATTGATTCAAGCGTCCTTGAATAAGAGTAGAACAAGCTTTGATATCTTATTAGAGAAATAAAACAATTCAATGATGAGAGTCGACACAAAATTTGAATAAATATTCAATAGTCATAGTTGTTAATAAACACAAAACCCGGATCAGGTTTAAATACTCGATTCGAGAAAGTTCAAGGGATGTCTGATGCATCCATTGACCATCATGCCTTTACAGTGGGACACACTCCTATAGTGGGTTGCATCTCCTAAACATAACCGTTATAACTAATAGTTGATTATCAGCACTAGATCTCAGTCCTAACTATAAGGACTCTAATTGCACTATTCCACACATGTAAGAAGTAATAGCGAGTATGATAGTATTTTAACAAAGGGCGATCTCAATTTCTTAAATTTCATTAAAAGAATTATGTCACGAGACATTGTGTCGGCGAGATTTTATATATGGAATACAAAGTCATCTATAAGAAGATTATGTGTGTCTTATCAAGAACTACAACAAATTATCTTATAGATTTGCAACATGTTTAAATTGATTACCACAATTAAATTGATTAAGATTTACTAGATGTATTTAAGTATCAAAATATAATTCATAAGAATTATTAAACTTAAAATTGTAGTTTTTCCAAGTCTAAATAAATTTAAATAGATAAAAAATGTACATATTATTTTATAAAATATATATTTTCAAATTATAAACTTTTATCCAAAAATGTATCTTTACAAAATGAAGATTTCAAACTAATTATAATAAAAATAAATACAGATCTATCCAGAATTCATAACATGCTCACGACATTTCACTTATATACTTGATAAGAGATTTGAAGTATTCGTGACAAAATAATAATCACTAACCTGCAAATACATTAGCAACCATTCAAAACTTATCATTCTTTTAATCTCTTAGAATTTGAAGAAGCCAATTTTGTTCATAACATGAACGGCACTGTCTAGTAGTGCTTGCGTGTTATGGAAATGAAGGTTTGAAGAGATAAAATCAATTTGGGCCAAGAAAGGTTAAAAGAAATGAAATAAGGAAATTAGTTTAATTCAAAATTATTTAAGTGAGTATTTGAACTCATATTTTTGTGGTCTTTTGATGAAGGGGAATATGGGAAAATTTTCAACAATTATGTTTATTTTATTTATTTATTTAATCTTAAGGATAAATAATGTATATCTCAAACGTTAAATCTTGTGTATTCAAGATGTTATTTGCTTATAAATTTCAATAAATAAAATTTAATTTTAAACATGCATAGTCTCAGTAATATGTCTTTGGAACTCAGATATTGAGATGGTGAAGTGATGACAAGTTTACATATTGCTCAGCAGTTCTCGTACCTTAAAATAAATAAAGATCGCAAAAGGGACCATTGTAGTAAACCTCATGATTATCATCCATTCCCACTGCTAACGGAAGTCGGTTTTAAGAGGAAGGTTAATTAGTAACTTGGTCTTCACTGTGCATGGGGTGGTCGATACATAAAAAGCATATGGGGAAAAACGAAGGTAGTTTACGTCGAACTTAGGTAGGTGACATGGAGTAAAGTGCAAAGTTAGCTCATATGGTGGAATTATGCAGATGGGGAGTAGAAGAGGAAGCACGAGCAAATCCAGCAGACATGGTAGTCGGAACAGAACATGTGAGGCAGGAACGACGAGGCCTGCTACTAGATCTTATTAGATAGTCCGGATGAAAATCACTTCACATTATGACATTAAACAACATTATCCAGTTATTAAAATAGAGAACATGGACTGCACAACGCACACAGTAATCAATATTCTAGTGCGCGTAATCAATATCTACGAGGTTTTGTCACATATTACCTGACTGCAGTTGTACTGACCCCGGAATTGATGACCGATATCGTAGGGGTTCTTGTAAAAAGGTGTTACAGAGACGATCTCGGACGAGGATTTATGAATCGCCCAGTGAACCGAGAGTTCTTGTACCGAGCCCTGGGCGGTCCGAGAATGACTGTAGATCGTGACCGCATTGGCGCAAAGTGGAAGCGAAGCGTCAGAGGGACTCGGGCCTCGACCCAGTCCTAGTCCTAGTCCTCGTCCCCGCCTCGTACTGGGACAACGAGAAGGAAGGAAAAGAGCAGAGGGAGGTCGAGGGCAGGCGGACTTGGGAGAAAGAGCAGGCCCGTCACAAGGGCCGAGCTGCGCGGGCCTACCCTCTACAGGAACCGGAGACAAGACGACTGCCTCCTCCTCCGAGGCTCGAGTCAGAGGACTGTCAGTCAGTGGCCGGATTATCCAAACGCGACTCGTCGTCGTCGGGCCCGGTCCCTCACCCTCGGCAGCAGGGACGGAATCCGCCTCCAAAGTTAGTGGACCACAAGACGACTCTCGTGAGCTTAGAGGAGTCGACGCCGCAAACAGGAGCACAGGATGTGCGGCAAGCTGGATGCGGCATGCTATGCGACGTAATGCGAACGAGAGGACGAGACACAGAGGAGGCCGCGGGGTAACCGGAGTTATGGCGGTCCGCAGGTCAGGTTAGGGTTTGCAGGCCGAAGGGTTCTGGCGAGAGCAGTGGAGTGGGGCTCGTTCGTTTGGTTCGTGCGGGGGAGAGTGACAGACTCTGCTGCTCGCGTTGCAAGGCCGACCTGCTGCTCGCTCGCTCTGTAGTGAGCGCGAGCTTGCGTTGCTGCACTTCAGAGGAGGAGCTCGCGAAGGGAGGGAGAGGAGGAGAGAGAGGGAGGGAGGGAGGGAGCGCGGAGAGGAGCTCGGAGGGGCGGGGCTGGTGGGCACAGCAGCAGCAGCAGCAGCAGCAGGCATCGAGTCCGGCGAGAGCTTGGGGCCAGAGTTTTGGCACACGGGAGAGATTGTGTGGGAGTGAGGGGACGCCCGGCGCAGGCCACCGCGAACCGTAGGCGGATCGAGGAGGATCAAAAGAACGAAAGATCGAGGAGCAAAGAAGGAAGGAAGGAAGGAACGAACGCGATGATGCAATATTGATTGGCGAGTGTGAACAGAGCAGGACCCAAGGATTTATCAATGCTGTTGTCTGAACGCGTCGGGAGGAGTTTGGAGACGACGATTAAGGGGTGCAGGAACTCGGGCCGCGGTAGTGCTGCTGTGAGAATCTTGCCTAGCTTCGAATTCGATTTCAGTGTTTTGATACAGAAAGAATCAGGGGGTCAGGGAGTGTGGGTTCGGGTATTTGCCGTTCTCCCGGTGATTGATGGGTCTCAACATCTGTCAGTAATTTTGTCCTCGGTCAGAACTTACTCTGTGCCCGGCCCAGCCCAAGAAGGTGCGCTCGAGCTCTGGTGCTTCTGACTGAAAGCCCCCGATCACTGCTGTGAATCAGATCGATCCAGGAGAGGAACAAAATGGATCTACCTACTCTGGCGTCGGTATTGCAGCTGGCCCTCAGCACCAATCCCGAAGAGCGTAAAGCTGGAGAAGAACGTCTGAATCAGGTTCGACGCTTTGATTTTGTCTACCATGCGCTTTTTTTCCCCTGCTTCCTCTGAATGAGTGACGGCATTGAAGCAATCGAATGACACCTCCATCTCGGTGTCTTCACTTTTCAGTCCAGCAATGTACTGCGTTATGTCATTCCATGTCTTCTTAGCGCGCGCACCACGCCGTCCGTTTTTGCTGTACCTTGCTTGGGCTCGTTCACTCTGTCTGTGTCATGGGCATTTTGTTTTCGGTTCATGTTGTATTGGAATGCTCTGTGCATTTTCTCCACCTCCAGGTTCCGCTATACTCGTGCTTTTGGTTCCACTATACCGTTCCTCACCTCGTATGCCCGATTAGAAAGTTCATGATACATAGGTCTTTGAACAATGCCAAAGAACTCGTTTCATCGTTCAGTCTCGGAAACTGGGTACATGGAGTGTTGGTCGAGCTATATCTGGTTGCCCGCAATTTTTTTCTATTCTCAAGAATTTACGAGCACTCAAGGAGTCTTCGAATCTTCAATTCTATCAGCGAACTCATCTTTCCTTTGGCGGGTGATCTAGAAATTCCTTTCACAGCTGAAGAAATAGTGATCACGCCTGTCGTCTCTTCCATGCAAGTTCAGTGTGCCATACAGGACTACCACGGGCATACTCTTAGCTTCATACTCCAAAAATACTCTTCTGATTTCGTTGTCGGAACTTTTCTTTACCACAGTTGTGATGGCTCTTTCAGTTTCATGAAGGCCATCAGATGTGACGTCTGTATCATGAGTGTGTCTAAATTGTTTATTGAATCTTCGTCAATTTCTGGGACCTCTTACTTCGGGTTGTTGAGAGTCTGGCTCACAGATTCTGACAGTGATTTATCAGAGAATTATATTTTGTTTTCTGACCTGAATGAATCCGAATATTTCAATTTTCAGAGCTTTTGAGTCGAATCTAACGGTGTTCTCCGCTCGTTGCAGTTTCAACACGCACCAGGTCATTTGGTTGGACTTCTACAGATTATTGTTGCGAACAATGTGGATCTTTCCATCCGGCAAGTCGCTAGTATTTATTTAAAAAACGTCAGCGCCCGGGAGTGGACGCCACGCAAACCAGGTCAGTTGTCTACTGGCGGGTGGTGACTGTTTGATGTTTGAGACGAATCTCTTGTGTAACCTTTGAGCTAAAACTATGTCTGTCACCGATCCATAGAATCGCCCGGCGTTTCGGATGGGGACAAAGCAACGGTGCGGGAGCATCTACTTGAAGCAATTATCCATGCGCCTCCGATCATTAGGTATCTTCCACACGCGCCGATATTCTTTGTACGAAATGTGTTCATTTGTCAACTGCAACAGGTGCTTGATATTTTCTGGCTCACTTTCACGCCTGTTGGTAAGTGTTCTCGCCTGCTGCACCGTTAGTTGAACCTTAAACTTGCGCGGGAAGACTTCAGGTCAGGACGTGAGAATCTCTCAAATGCATATGCAAGTTCGTCCTTCTTTCCTCCCCAACCGGGCAGTCGCTGGCCCTGGTGCCTTGCCGGCTATCCATCCTCGACATATTAATGTCCAGTCTCCGAAGGGTTCGATATCTCAGTCTTCATGTCACCTGGCTTTTTTTCCTGTCTATATCGTGCGCTTATGGCATTGTAATTTTTACTTCTCAGGGTACAACTGGGTGAATGCCTGAAGACCGTCATCCATGCTGATTATCCGGAGCAGTGGCCTGTTCTCCTCCTCGCTATTGACGGGAATTTGAAGTCTCAAGATCAGCAGCGTATATTTGGAGCCCTTTACGCTCTCAGGATACTCACTCGGAAATACGAGTAGGTCGTCGTGGCCTAAACTGTTGTTAACCCCTACCGTCAGTCAATCCTCCTGTGCTGCACTGGTTTTTTCCTTCCGATCACGGCATTCGCATGTTAGTTCCCCGTCACTATCTTGAGTGAGCGTATGTTTCAAACTATACTTTGTTCTGAAGGAACTTGCGTCTTACGTGGTTTTTGGGAATTCAGATTCAAGGACGAAGACGAAAGAGCACCCGTCTACTCTATAATAAACACAACTTTTCCAGTCCTATTAGAGATCTTCAAGTACCTTCTCTCCATTCAAAACCCTACTGTCGAAATTGCAGATTTGATCAAGCTTATCTGCAAGATCTTCTGGTCATCCTCATATGTAAGATTGCCGACCTAGTTCACCTGCCCACTTGATTATGTCCTATATTCAGCATGGCGGATGAACTGTACAACCTCTTACTTGTGGTCTAATTTCTTAGTATTTCTTGTTACGAAAGTCTCAGATTAACAATGATTTCGGCTCCTGAGGTAATTTCGATCTGTCATTTGTTTATGTTTTGCAGCTAGAGATTCCAAAGTTGCTACACGATGCCAATATTTTTTCTTTATGGATGGCTTGCTTTCACAATCTTCTCGAGAGACCTGTACCTGTCGTTGGCCAACCAACCGATCCAGAGCAGCGTAAAGTGTGGGGATGGTGGAAAGTTAAAAAGTGGACACTCCACATTATGAACCGATTGTACAACAGGTATGAGGTCTGCCGGAACGAAATTCTGGCCTTTCAGGAAGTGTCGTGAAGTGATATCAGCTGTATCTCCCTGAATTTGGAGTTTCTGTGTTCGCATATTTTTGAGTGTTGGGATCAGTAGAGATACTTTTACGTTTGGGCGAATTTGTACTGATGTGTAGCAATGTTGCATCTTCATCAGGTTTGGAGATCCCAAAATGTCGAAGCCGGAGAACAAGGGATTTGCTCAGATGTTTCAGAAGCAGTTTGCTGGGATGTTTTTGCAGTCATACATGACTCTTCTTAGTGTAGTTCGTGAGGGTGGATATCTACCCGATAGAGTCATAAACTTAGCGCTCCAGTACCTCAGCACGAGGTGCGTTCTCAGCTTTTCCAACATACAATTGTCGTGCCCATGACATGGACTCATGATTTATGAAGCTTGTTGAATATAATCAATATCTACAGAATTGTGTTCTGTTTCAAGATACAACCAAACATCGAAGGACTCTTCTTACAGAGTCGTCAAGTTAATTGGATGTGCTGTGATGGCAACATTTTCTCCGGTTAGTAGCTGAGAGCATATAAGAAGAAACCGATCTCAGTTCGTTTGGTGAGCTGACTATTGTTTCTCCTGACAGTGTATCAAAGTCCGTTACCTACCAGCTTTTGAAACCCCAGCTTGATGTCGTGCTCTTTGAGATCATCTTCCCGCTCATGTGTTTCAATGATGCCGATGACGAACTTTGGCGTGACGATCCACACGAGTATGTGAGAAAAGGTTACGGTAAGTGAAATGTATCTTCCATTTAAGATTTGGTTCTATCGAATCTGATTAGCTGATATCGTTGCTGCTGAATTCCAAATTTTCCTTGTCGAGTGCCATTTCAAAACTATCAATTACACTACCTTAATGTCGATTCTCGTATATTTTTAGGTGTTCTCATTTAAGTGTTGCTCTCACATCACTTCCGATTCTATAACCACGGAGCTATCTGTAACCCAACAGTTCCTAACTTTAATCACCTGCTTCAAATCTCAGAGCATAGTTCCCAGAAGATGATGGGCTGTGATGTGCATGTTTGGTAGTCTTAATATAGTAAAACTTATTTTGATCCATTTGTGTCGATTATATAATGTCAGACATCATCGAAGACATGTACAGCCCGCGTACTGCTGCCATCAATTTTATATCAGAGCTTGTTAGGAAACGCGGAAAGGAGAATCTTCAAAAGTTTCTTGCTTTCATTGTTGAGGTCTTCAAGAGGTAACTACGCCTGGTCGAATGATTTGTGCAAATGGATCTTAGCAAATGCATCGAACGACTACTTGCTGCTTTCATGGATGTCTTATCTCTTCCACGCCCGCAGATATAAACCGAGCATATGCGACTTTATGCTGCTCTCCTAATTATTTTATGGACGTGCTATTGACGTGCCATAGCTTACTTGATCTTGGCCGGGTTTAGCTAAAATAAATCGATTCGCCTTATTCGTGTTTTTGTCCTTGTTTAGTTTATCTAGCATGTTCTTCATATTTTTCCCCTTGTTTCAGTGTACCAAATTCTTCCAATCTGTTTACGTCGAGGAGGAGTTAGGCCTAACTTAAATCTCAATTCTTATTATGTTGGCAGATACGATGAGGCTCCCGCCGATCGTAAACCATATCGTCTAAAAGATGGTGGTTTGCTCGCTGTTGGTGCTTTGAACGATAAGTTGAAGCACACGGAACCGTATAAGTCCTCATTGGAATTAATGCTGGTTCAGCATGTGTATCCGGAGTTCGGCAGTCCAGCTGGCCATTTGAGAGCAAAGGTAAGTTTTATAGTTGTTCTCTAGCTTCAGTTGCATGACAGGTAACGTCAGCACTCTGACGTTACCTGTCATACGCAGCATGGAATTTGTGGCTACTTGATTTCGCATGCTAGTGCCTGAGCTTTTTTGTCATGACATTTGAAAATGGTATGTTCCGACTAGTGTAGTTGCATATTACATTCCAACCTGTTTATACCTGTAGTGGAGAAAAGTCGTTCAGTTATCTAGCACGACAACCATGGATCATGCTTTAGGTTTTGTTAAATTTGGACTATGATGAGTACTTGCATTTACATCTAGCTTTTCTACCAATCTTGTTTGGAGGTTAATGTAAGACTTCATCTGCTTGTATCTCCTCCGAACTCTGGATCAACACCAATGCTCCTCTAGTCTGATTATGCTTTCTTAACACTTGTGAATACCACAGGCTGCATGGGTTGCTGGTCAATACGCTGACATTAGCTTCAACGATCAGCGAAACTTTAGCGCCGCCATGCATCGGGTTGTGGCCGCTTTAAAAGATGCAGAGTTACCCGTTCGTGTCGATTCTGTAGTAGCTCTCAGATCTTTTGTGGAATCATGCAAAGGTAAATGTACTTTCTAACTTTTATATCCCATATTCAGATCTTAGTTCTACATGAAAATGTTCGTGATTACGAACATTTGTACACATTGATAGTATGTTAGCTGTCTTTATTTTGTTCTAAATTATATTTTGGTTTGATTACTTTCTTATGCAGACTTGAACGAGATTCGTCCAATCTTACCCCAATTACTTGATGGTAAGTCTTCACACTGCATTGGTTGTGTCTGCTTAATAACTTTTCCCTATATGTAAGTATCTTGTGTGTGAACATGGGCGGATGTATGTATCCAACATTCATACTTACCAACCAAGTCAAATTTGAACATTTTTGCAGAGTTTTTCAAACTGATGAATGAGGTTGAGAACGAAGATCTTGTATTCACATTGGAAACTATCGTCGAAAAATTCGATGAAGAAATGGCACCTTATGCTCTTGGTTTGTGCCAGAATTTGGTAAGTATCAAAAGTCGAAGACGAGGCATTAAGATTATTGCCGTCGGTAGTCTGCTACCAATGTGCCATGTGCTTCGCTACCTAAGTTGCTGGATAAAGAGGAGATGTTCATTACATCTGTGGAAATAATACGTCAGGCATTAGTTATAAGATTCGTGGGAGTAGATATCAGAGTCTGCTCTAGCTAGTAGGTTAACCTGTACTTCTTGTCATTGTAGGCCGCTGCATTTTGGAAGTGCTTACAATCAGCAGAAACCGACGAAGACGATGACGATTCTGGTGCCCTGGCCGCTGTTGGTTGCTTGAGGGCAATTGGCACGATTTTGGAGTCTGTGAATGGCCTTCCACATCTCTTCCCCCAGATGGAGCCCACATTGTTGCCGATTATGCAAAGGATGCTGACGACAGATGGCCAAGGTCTCATTTACTCTTCTGTTTCTTTCGCATCTTTCCCCAATTTTAATGCCTCACAAGTCACACTCCGCACTGGATCTATCACAGACCAGAACATAACAGTTGATGTGTACTTTGTCTTCATTGGGACCATGCATGTATGATAGTGAGTCCTTGAATCAGGAGAGTGAATTCATTCTTTTATCAAGTAGAAGTAATCAAGGTGTAGCCAAGGTTTCATGCGAGCAGCTTTTTTGGTTTTGATTTGATGGTTCATATCTGCTGTGTATAATATGTAGAACTGAAACAATATCTACAATATTCTTTACTATTCACAAAGTGGATCTCTTGGGTTAAACATTATTTTTTGTGTGCGTGTGGTGCAGATGTGTTTGAGGAGGTTTTGGAGATCGTGTCGTACATGACGTACTTCTCGCCCACGATATCGCTTGATATGTGGAGCCTGTGGCCATCAATGGTCAATGCCATGGACGAATGGGCCATCGATTATTTTGAGAGTACTTTTCGAATCTCCGCTTGACTTAGTTTCGATTCTGTTCTCTTTGTTTTTGATTGCTTCTGTGCCTGTAGGTCGAAAAGCACATCACTTCTATGTTCAAATGAGGGTGATGAGATCGGTGGTAAACCTCAGCTTGGCAATCATGTGGATGTTATTCTTGTTGCCCCATGGAACAATCAGACAAACTCTTTCGCAGTATCTGATGTAGCAAGTTCCGCCATGTTGTTTGCAGATATTCTTGTACCCTTGGACAATTACATCTCAAGGAGCACGGAACATTTTCTTACGTGTCAGGAACCGAACTATCAGCAAAGTCTGTTCAAAATGATGTCCACGGTAAGATGGTTCAAAATGGTTCTCAGCGACAGATGCGGATGTATTATCTCCTCATCAGGAATAGTGTTGCCTTCTATAGTTTTTGTACGAATGCAGGCAGTTCATTAAGCTTCACACTCGTAATACATTTCTCGCTTCCTATTTTTTGAAATCTTGACGCATTTGCCAATGATTCAAGAGATGTTTCGGCAACTAGGGCTTTGATTGCATCGCCTTTCAAAAATTTCACCTCAATTTTGGAATGTCGTCTGTTTCTTCTACAGGTGATGGCAGATGAAAAGTTGGAAGACAGCGACATCGAGCCTGCACCCAAGCTTATTGAGGCAGTCTTGCAAAACTGTCGGGGAAGGGTAGATGAGTGGTTGGAGCCATATCTGAGGATAAGTCTAGAAAGATTACGCAAGACAAAGAAAAATTACCTGAAGGATCTTCTCATGGAAGTGGTACGTTTGAAGTTGCTTTTTCAACTCACGTTTGTGTATTAAAGTGCATCATTTGGGCTAATCACCTATATGTTCCGAACACTGATAATGTGCTTTGTGCTGCATATGTATGATCCAGGTGGCAAACGCTCTGTACTATAATGCAGGGTTGTCCTTGAACATTTTGCAAAAATTGGGAGTCACCCAGGAGATCTTCCAAGTTTGGTTCCAAATGCTTTACGCCACGAAGAAGTCTGGCAAGCCTGTGCACTTCATAAGGTAGGTTTTCTTCTTTTGGTTTTCTCTATCATGCTTGAGGTTTTAAAAAATGTATCAAGACGTCGTAAGCTTCTGATAAAGATTTTCGGAGAATCAAGATTGTACAAAAAATAAATGAATATCCTCACCAGCCCCTTTCCATCTCATTCAATGGTATTCGTGAAGATTTTCCCTTTACTCGATTCACATCCCCACCGGAAGATGTTATTTTGACCAATATCCTTTGGCCCTCGTACCTCACTCACAACTCACAATCAGTATTTTCTAGCATTTTCCTCATCTCTTGGTTAGGTGTCACCAGTGTAAGTTTCTATGTGCCGGACTGCCTAAGGCATTCTTCAAGGCTACTCGAGTAACTTCTCTCTGAGTTTTTTAAGCTCATCTTCCTCACCCATTTGAAACCTCTAACGCAGCCCTTCGGAAGTAGCAACGATATTCATTCTTGGCCCGAGTTGATTCGTCCGACCTAACGTGCACATTGTCTTTGTTTTGGACCTAAGAGCCTCATCCCCAAGAAGGTTGGGTTCTCTTCCACTATGGGTTCCAGACGTGTCTGCTCTGGGTATCTTCAGGTGGAGAACGTCTTTGAGAAACCCAGAGATTCATTTGATCTCTTCGCTACCACTAACACCTTAGCTCTGCATTACGCCTTCCGCTGTGGGTCTATTGTCAGGCGGAGAACATATTTGGTAAACCGGGAGACTCATTCTATGACTTCGCTGTTACTAACACCTTATCTCTGCTCCATGTTTTCAATAAGCGGTCTATATTCTGGTTGTGTGATATATTTTAGCACTTCTACTAATGGTATTAAATTACCTATTTTAATGAGCGAAGTCAAATGCGTAAACTAGCCAGTATACTTTTTTGGTCTTATAATATCTGCTTAGCTGCGTACTTCAACAAATATGCGAGCTAGCACAAGTTATCAGTAATGAATATTTTTAATCCTGTGTTGAAATTTGACGATGTCTTGTAATGAATTTGCTGCAGGGAACATGATAAGAAAGTCTGCATACTGGGTTTGGCAAACCTTCTACTTCTTCCAGCAGAAGCCATGCCTCAGGAATTACAATCTGGTCTTGACCAGGTGTTCAAGGCTGTCTTGAAGCTGTTGGTGGCTTACAAAGAGCAGCGCACAGGTACATCAATGACGCATTTTCCTTGAAATTAGCAGTAGATCAATAGCTGATATACTGCTATTGCGGTAGATCAACTGCACATCTGGTTAAATTGTCATTTCATCTTATTATTCTGATTATCTCACATGGAAGTTACATGTCTGGACAAACACAATTTGTGATTAGTTGGAAACTGTTTTGTGACTTGTGACGACTCGATATGTATTCAGAGGCAGCCAAGGGTGCTGAAGAAGTGGAGGACGAGGATGCTGACCTGGATGGATGGAGATCTGGAGATGATGACGACTGGGAGAAGGAGCTAGCGGACGACGAAGACGATGGAGATGAAGCCGATACACAAAAATTACAAAAATTAGCAGCTCAGGTAGAGGATGTGAAGAAAGTGTTTGCTATCAGTTACCCTGTTCGAAAGTGTTTTATGGTTAAACTCTCGTCTACGCCTGAAATTTTACTCATACTCACTATGTCTTTGCCTCTTACAACAGGCCAAATCGTTTCACCCTCACGACGATGATGACTCTGACGATGATTTCACGGACGATGAGGAGTTCCAAGCACCCATAGACAATGTGGATCCATTTATCTTTTTCTCGGATATCATGAACGGTGAGTAATATGTAGAACACCTATGACTCCTACCTGTTTCCACGAATGGTTTCTTCTACAAAGCTTGGATCGAGTATTCGATACTAAGTATCCACCCTCACTTATAGCATCAAGCGGATGTCGATAAATTCTTTCATGGTTTGTTTTCTGTATGTTAGTAGGTTTACCACCAGATTTAGATTTGTTTCTGACGTCTTCATTTGGACTTGTCCTGTACATTTCAGCAATGTCAACCACCGATCCAGCTCGGTTCCAAGCACTTTCCGGGTGTCTGGACTTCCAGCACCAAGCGATGGCACATGGGCTCTCTCAACATGCAGAAGAGAGGCGTAAGGAGATTGAGAAGGAAATGACCGAGAAGTCGCAATCTGGCGCGGGAATGAGAGAGCAATAGCCGCGCTATACGCGTAACTAAAGCAGAGAGTTTTCGTTTACTTCTTTTCATTTAGCTAGGGTTTATACTATAGTGCATTAAATTTATTGGGGTTATACAACAAATCAGTGCATGGCATGTGCAGCAGAGGATCAGGTTGCTAGGGAGCTTTCGAGAAGGCTCTGAGACATGTTGCTCCATCTCTCTTTCTCTTTTTCTAGGCTGTTCACAATTCTTAAGTCATGTCAATGGTAGTAAATAGGTTCTCCAGTGAGCAATCCACCCCATTCCAAGCCAATAAGAGCAGAGCTTATTGAAGAAGCAGTTAAGAGGGTGATCAATTTCTTGTATTGGAATTTGAAGCTTGACAGTTGAGAACATGTCAGGTTCTTTTTTTTCAAGCATGTTATTATTCAACTGGCTGTTGAAAGCTGCAATCGTTAAACATATTCTTTCTTCTGGAATGGAGGGCTCATGTTATGTACAAATTTCTTTGAGATAATAGTGATTTCATGTTGATTTTTTACACCTGTGGGTGGACAGACTCCTCTAATACTACGCCCAAATGAATTCTCTGATATCCTTCGGCCGTGCAGGCCATTATAATACATATTGTATCGTAAACCATTCAAGTCACTATACAATGACTTCACCTTTGTTTATGCTAATCTATTTGTCTTAAACATCAATCCGAGAAGCAATTTGGCTGGCAGTTGCCACTGATTGGCTGCATATTATGTGCAAGTAGCCCCTCTTATATCTTGTCTCTTTAATGACGTCTGTTTGTACATGTGCTGGTTTCCCTGAAAGAAACTTGATGTTGCCCATTCAGGGATGAGCTTTGAAGCGCCCATGTAACCTCAGTATCTTTCACGAAGGGAAATGTGGAAGGTATCCCTCGACAGTGTGAACTATCTTCACCTGTATATCTTGGAATGTTTTACTGCCACAGAGCAAAACCCAGTATATGTTGTTGAGCTTCGAGTGAACATGAGCATGGAATGAACCTTCTCGAAGCTCGAGGTCAAGTGCAATACGGTAGCTACAGACATATCTCAGGAATATATCTACAACATATATATCTAGTGACAAGAAAGGTAGAAAGATACGAGTTGCTAGGAGAAATTGATACCAGTTACGCAGTTAAAAGACATGAAAATGATAACAATCAAAATCTCATATATTATATACAAATTGATATGTCAATAGCACGTAATAGAAATAAATCTAGAAGTAAAAATTATTGATGAAAAAACGATAAAATTACACTTTTAAGTTAATAAATTAATTATTCACATTTATACATATATATATATATATATATGGTTATTTTTTTACTTTGCTTTGAACAATTATAATGTAAGAAAAAAGCTGATGATGCACAAATCAACCACATTTCCTCATTCATACTTATGATTTGGAAATGCAATGGTAATCACTCCATGATTTTGATTAATCTTCCTTGTATTCAAATGAATTTTAGATTTAAAATTTTTATTATTTTGCCTATCTATATATAGGAAATTTTCAATTCACATTCAATATTGGTATAAAAATAGAGGAGAATTAATAATAGATAGTTATAATAAAAATAATAATTATAGATAGTTAGATAAAAAAAATTATTTTTTTATTATAGATTATTAAAATATCTAATTATATCTAGATTATAAAAATCAGTTTTTAATAGAAGTAACATACGTGTCAAAGATAAATAAAATAAAATTTATGAAATAAAAAAATGAGATAATACATATCAATCAATTATTTCATCTCCAATATTAAGTAGAATAATGACAATTTCACAAAATCATCAATGTGATGTTTATTTCAAAAATCTTTCATTTTGAAAATAATTAGTTTGAAGTAAAAACACACATCTCTCTGAGATAAGATTAACTTAAGATTAAGAACCACAAATAACATAGTAAACTCATCACATTCATCAACTTGTTTCCGAACCTAAAGTTGCAAATGTGCTATAATAATACTCACAATTTGTTCATGAGAATCTAATCAGTAGTTGTTATTTTAAATTACCAATGTATACTTTAGGCCTCAAAACCTTGTCCAAACTTGTAAGCTTCAAGTTGTCTTTGATCCAATGCTTGTGATTGCCAACTCTTACTTGCAACTCAATCGTTAGCTAAGTTGATCTTTGATCTTACATTTCTTCTTGGATTGCTTTGAAGAACACTTATCATTTTCATGCCCTACATTACAAAACAAGTGCACAATCCACAATGAAGAAGTATTAAGAATGAGTAGAAGAGAGTAATCCACACCTTTCAATTCTTTGGTTTGTTCCTCACTTCCTCTTGTTCAAATTCTTGGAAAATCACAAACTTTCAAACTCTCATCTAGCTTCGTTTTCATCCTTGTTGTTCCGCGAAACTCATTTGTCAAAACTTAATAGCTAGCAAAGATAGTCTAAAACCCATCACTGATCTTTGGTCACATTGATATTCATGCAATGTCTCAATCTTTGCTAGCGGCTAGGATCATTGTGTCTGACCTAGAAATATGCTTTTTTCTTTAGCTATTCTTTGCTTGCATGCATTGTATCATAACTTGTAACTCCAATTGTATCAGAACCTCTATTGACATCTTTTTCCTGCTTTTCATCAAACTACTAGAATTTTAAAGTCAAATAATGTCATTGAATTATGATGAACTACAATGAGAAGAGTCAAGAATAAAACAATCAACCCTTTGATATCAATTGCTAGATGCTTCATCACAAGGATTGTATTAGTCAAATGTACTCACACATTATCTACACAAAAACATATATCCCCATCCACAACTCACATTACTCATACATGGTTCAACATTACGGTCTACGTGCATTACCCACCTAAGGCTTCACTAAAATGTTGCGGCAAGCTTTAGTTTGCAAGTTTGATAAGCTTCATTAGTTGAGATTAGGCTATTCTGAGTTATCAGAATAGCTTAATCTCGCTGAGTTATTTACTAACACATATTGAACTTTCATAGTGAACTCAACATCACATTTTTATGATTTATGCATTCATCTCCAAGTATAAAAACATATTTTGCTGAAAATATTCTTGTTTGTTTTATGTTTTTGAAAATCAACAGACACATAACCAGTCAAAATTTTGATATTGTATAATTTTTCATCAAACACAAGATCAAAATTTAACTTTTATTTAAAATATTCAAAACTTCTCATCACATTTAACACTAGAGATCAAGAGAATAACTCGTTTGAAGATGAAACAGAAGTCTGAAAATGAAAGATTTTTAGAATAATTCTTCGTATCATTATATAAATTTTATTAACAATTATAAGGTAAATAAGATCTCAATTTTACCATCCATTTCACTCATCATGGATAGATGATTTCTATACATGATGAGTGATCTATCCATGATGACATGGCGGATAATCATATCAAGTACACTGATTGTTGACTTATTATTGTCAACTAACACGCTTATTTTTTATATACCAAAATCACATAAAATGAACATGGTGATTATAGATTATATAACTATGTCTTGATCTTGAGTACACTCTACCCTAACTCTCACTAACTGAAGATGATTATATCACAATAAATATTTTTTTAAATTTATAATTATGATTTAATGTTGCACACATCAATAACAATGTCAAATATAGTGCAAATCATAACTTTTCATTATCTTATTGTAACAAATATTTGATATTGAAGCTTATTTTGTATGAAGTTGGACTTAAAGAACTACAATATTACTTACAGAATTGCAATTTTTCCTGTTGAATCTTTAATTATTTGTCTATCTTGTGCCTTGACTTCTTCCTGAGTACATATTATTTCAATCCAAATATTTTACTTGTGCAAATTTCTATATCATCAAACTTGCAAAATGTATCTTTTGAAATCTATCACTTGAATAGTATTTTAATTCATGAAATAATATTCTATCTTTTAACAACTTTTAATTTAATTCCAAGACTTGTTGTTGATCAATAATTTCATTTTTCTTTGCATTCTCTAGTATCACTTAAGTGCATAAAATAAAGCTTGAGACTCACAAGATTCAACATCTTTCAAAAAGAAAGTCTGACCGTAACACTAGGTATGAAAAGAGTAGTTCATTTGAAAATAAAAGATAGCTAGATTATTTTTGTCTTTTTATATAAATCTTATCAACAAGTACAAGGAAAAAGAAACCTCATCCATTTTATCCATTTAAATCCTAGTGGATTGATGACATGAGCAAAAAACCTCAACAAGTACAAGAATGGGTTACGTGTTGCTCTCAACACACTCGATACTTATCAAACAAACACACGTAATGTTGACAATCCGCTTTTAACTAACACATTTACTCTCTACTTGCTAAACACACGGATTTATGACGTGACGACTTAATATTATATACAATAATTTAAACATAAAACTATTTATACTTAAATTTTAATTAATTAAAGATGAATACATATACTCTTATCATTTTTTTATTCAATTATCTATATTCAGTTGCAAAATGAGTTAAAAGAATGAATGAACCGTCCACATGTTGATTGTTTTGTTTGATCTTGATGTGCTTGTATATTTGAAGTTGTGTCATTTTTCATATTGTCATTAACAAAATTGAAAATTTTCAATTTGGTTATATTGCAATGCTAAAGATGTCTACTTCCTATGAATTAACATGATAATCATTAGAATTAAACTTTTTTATTCAAATCTAGTGGATTTTTTTTAATTATTATAATAAATTTGAATAGCTAAAAAACACATTTTTGAAAAATAATATCTTATTCAGATTTTTTCCTAAAATGATAAAATATGCATTACTTCTAAAAAATATTAAGGTATTATTATTTGTTACTATTCATTCTTGAATTTGATTGATGAGATGTAATTAACTGTAGAATGAGGCTACATACATTAAAACATAAGTAGTATAATAGGATGCTAAAGTTTATAACACCGATAAATAAAATTAACAATTTCATATAAGGGCTAAATAATCCAAGATCAAACTAACCAGAGTTAGTGAAAAAATAATTTTTTTATAGTTTTTAAAATTGGTATGCACAAGAATTTTTCAAGAAAATAATTTTCAAAAGTATGTAAAATAATGTATAGCAATTACCTAATAGAAGGAATATATAATTTGTAGCAACATAATGTTAACAAGATTTCAAACCGAAACTGTAGAGAATGCTAGCATGATGGACAGATCCAGTAAGTGGAGCTTTTTTTAAGTTTTTTAATGTATTTTATAGTACTTCAATATTTGCATATATACAATGTTTGAAAGAACATAAATTTGATTACATTTTTGAACAATGTAACTTTTCAACTTTAGAAACATATCAAAATATCTTTTAGTCCGAAATATTTGTCACTAATATATTGACACTTTGTAATTTGAAACATATGCTATGTTTCAGACCTGATTGAGTTTCATATTTAATTTGTCATCACATGTATTGGGAGAAGAAACATTTTTTCTTATGGAATGTACTTTTTAATGTTAATCTTGAGTACCATAGTGTTCAAGATACTCTAATAGTTTTCTCGGAACCGCAATTTTTAATCCCGATTAAGTATTTGGAAGGACATTTGAATCTTGAAACTTGTACCAAGTTTGCATATTTGCATATATTGCATATTCAGACATAATCTAACCGATTTATATATAGAATTATAAGCATACATACTTTTCTGAATACTCATGACCACTTGAAAGAATGAAAGTTTTTAAGATAATAGTTTTGAATAGTTTTGAATATGATTAATTATATGTTATGTGTTATTTTTTCTACTAGAGTACTATATTCGTATGAAACATTATATTAATTTGAATATACACAAAATTTTACATCTATTATCAAAAGGCGAGCTGGTAACATGTAGTTTGTCCAGGAAGACATAAAATATTGAAGGTTCTTTCAATACTTTTATCAGAAAAAATAATATGCAATAAAGTTTTAACAAACTCCGCATAGAATGGATTGTTGAGGTGATTTTCTGAAATAAAGCAATCCGGATAAACCTTTGCAAAGTGATTGACGACTCTGCTGTTTACATTTTCCAGATAAAGTATTATATTATAGAGCTCACCTAAAAACGAAAGGAGATACTAAAAGACGTGTCCTGGCTGTTGGATCCCGGAACCTAAACCTGCGACGCTAGAAAGGAAATAGTACTTGGATTTGTCCTTGACATTGCGAAAAGTGCATATTTTGTAAGTCCCGAGATCTTGTCTAGTCCGGATCTGGAGACTTAATGTGCTGGTCTGGGAGGAACTGGGTCAAGAAGAGGGAGATGTTGGTGTTGGATATGGCACATGATAAACAGGATCCAGAAGCGACAACGGGCCAACCGACCACACAAAGTGCAACATTGGAGGAACGAAAGTTGTTAAACGGGATTCCAGAGAAGATATTCATCTTTTGCAGAAGAGCACGTAACGACCAGAGAATGAGATCCCAGTGATCCCAGCACACAACGGAGTGCGTTATTCCCACCAACATTGGCAGCACTTTCAGAACGACGTCGTATTACGACAAACCTCTCGATGCAACTGCCCAACTGAGGACGAGCTTCAACAACCAATCTCTTCACCTCAATTGGAGCCTTTGCAGCTGCTCTTCTGCGGGAACTCCAACCACCGGTCGTCTCTTCATCTCATGCTCGAGTCTGCAAATTAGGTGACAACACCTAATCGCCGTTCGTGTTTAGGTCATCTCGCAGAGCGAGCGAGGACTCCGAGGACACCACTACTCCTCGCGGCACGTGACTCCGGTCACGGTCCCGAGACGAAACGCAGCGTTTTGGACACATCGCACAGCACACCATGGCGCTGATCATTTGGTGCTGCACGGTTCACTTTCCAAGAGCCCCAGCCATGCCATCCGCACCTCCAGAAGTCGAGCTCGAGGTCGTCCTGTATCTATCACCGTAGCAGTGAAATAGAACCGCCAGACGACCATGTCCATGAATTTATGCATTCTCAAACCCTTGACAGAAGTCCAAGCGCGCGGTGCAGAATGTCACCGGAATCCCGCTCGCCGTGAAAAGGTCATTCTGCGTCGCCTTTCCCGGATTCTGTCCTCCTGCTGGGCCCCACCGCGCGACTCTGGTCTCTGCAGAGCACGTTGCGAATATGCTCTTCGCATCTAAGTTTGGTTTGGTTCTCCGGAATCTTGAGCCCGAACCGTTCCATCTCAGACTGTGACGGCTCTACCTGGTTGATGTGTCACTGGCGCTACCGTAGTGGATGGAAGTGACTGTGGTAGAGGTAGGGTGTCGTCGACTGAAGAACTGTGAACCTTCTCCTCCTCAAAATTTAGGAATCTTCTGTCTTTCGCAATATGTTCTCGTCAGATGCGCCGAGGAATGAAATTTTGGGAGAGTGATTTTCTGTCATGAAATAGGTACTGTCATGTTCTGTTAGCTGTTTATGGTTTGTTGGGTGCGGAGATAATCTGAGAAGTCGATTGAAAACAGGAAACCTCATGAGACACAAACGGCCAGCTCTCCAAATGATATACATCAATCAATGTCAATTTTGGACACCGTCATTTCGGCACCATGCGCCAAGTACGGTGTCGAATTGCATTGCGCAACGTACTGTACTTGCCTGAGCACCAAATCGATATGATTCGAGCCTTTGAATGGAGCGAGCCAAGTGGAGGTTGATTCGTGGGTTTGAATCGGCTTGCTGAAGATAATGGGCTCGCTTCATGAACTCTGATCGCAGCGCTGCAGAGGGAGAGGAGAGCAGAGCAGAGCAGACGTATGCATTCGATTAGCAGTCATAAAGCAGGGTCCTTGTTTGGGAATAAGTTAGGCTCGTGCCTCTGGGCACTCGAGTTCTCGACTCGTCGTCCAGAACCGATGACGTCCACGGAATCGGTGGAACCCGATGAGAGATGAGACATGCGCTTTGACACACGAACTGCGCAATTAATGAGGGAAAAGAAGAATAGGTCCGGGAGGAAAGTCATTTCCGACACAGAGAGGCGACGGAGAGCAGCACCATGGACGACAGACAGACAGACAGACAGATCCTCGCTTGGCTTTGCATGCTTGCGGCAATGTGGAGGGCCGAGGGCCCGTCGCTCGAATCATGACGCAGGCGATAAATTGGATCATCTGCGATCGGCTCTGGGCCCGCATCGACGGCCATCGCTGCGCGCTCTCGTCGAGAATGCCCGTCCATCTGCCCGTGCTGCCGCCACGTCAGCGCCTGCAGAGGAAGGCAAGCGTAGCGCCACGTCCCGCCGCGCGACGTGGGGTTCGGTCGCTCAGTCTTCGCGCAGGCATTAGCAGAATCGTAATAATCTGATGCCAACTGGAAGTGCGCTAGTGACTGAGCGAGCGAGGGAATGAATGTATGAGTGAGGGAGTGAGTGAGTGCGAGTCCGGGAGAGCGCGAGTGTGTGAATGTGGTGCCATTTGGTACTTGTCATTGGGGGCGGTAAGGAAAAGCGCACATTGGATGCAAAAGCTGCTGGCCGCGAGTCATAAACTGGCTCCGGGCTGCGGGCTTCGAGCGAGAGCGCGCAGCCAATGCAGCGTGGTGTGTCGCCTTGCCGATCCCTCGTTGCCATCTGATCTGATGGTGATGATGATGGAGAGGGTGGTATGAGAGCGAGCCCAGCGGGTCCGAAGTTAAAGCTCCCCCTGTTGGGAGGCCAAACGCTTGACACACATGCCCCGGCCGTGCCAGGTGCAGATCCAATCCGCCCCCCTCTTCCTCTTTTCCTCGAACTCGCCCACTGTTGTAACTAAGTATCACCTGCTTCCATTGTTCGATCCTCTCCTCTCCTCTCCTCCTCTCCTCCTCTCCTCCTCGTCGTCTGCAGCAGCAGCAGCAGCAGCCTCGGTGGCACCTGCTCCGGTCGAGCTGCTCCTTTTCCCCCGTGTGATTATTAGCGAGCACCCAAATCTCGGCCTCCGAGTGAGCTGGAGGACCCTTTGCAATCCTCGGGGCCGCGATCGATCGATCGATCCCATCGACCACGATAGCGCTTTCTCGACGAGAGGATGCGCTTTCTATCAACAAACGAACCGTGAGAGACGTGTGCATGGAACCAACGACCGTTACAATAGCTCTCGCCCGCAGCGTCGCGTCGCCCGAGCCAGCCCGAAGAGCAATGTGGGTCAATGGGGTCACGTCGTCATAACTCGGCTCACCCGGTCACTCTGTCCGTATCCGACTGGCGAAAGCCGGTGACCGGGAGATATCATCTCTGTGCTGTCTCGACGCACCGGTGAATTCATATCGAGTTGCATGGCACTGTTGGCAGTCCGGCAGTCCGGCGGTCCGGCGGTCCCCGGCCTGGAGATCCGGCCGGGGCCTGCCGGACGGGAGGCAGGGTCACGACATACGTGGATCTGAAAAGGGCGAAAAGGGCAAAAGTTCACGGGAGCTGCCGGACAGCACCGGGAACCGGCTGACGCAGGCTGCATAAAGGCAGGGAGGTCTACGTATGACCGGTTTGGGGATTTTCGAAGAACGGGCAGGGAAGGGGCTTCTTAATTGCGACACCTGCTTCCAATAATTGCAACGAATAATTGTGCTCGCGCTTGCTAATTCCGGTATTGACTTAGCTCTGAAGGCGATTTAAGGCCTTCAATCACTGTCCATGAAACACGCTGCGAATAAGGAATATTGCAGTGATTTAAGAAACGAAGCCGGATTTACGGGACGGGGATATGAGCAAAACAAGCTTCCTCCTTCGCTTGCTCAGGCCACGTCGTCTGCCAGTCTTCTGGCACGGTCACACTGTCACCGAGCTCGCAAACCTTTTCGTTGGAAGAACTGAATTTCGCCATCGACGAATTTCGTCGCATCGAACGGGTCATAGAAAGCTTTAGCATCAAATACGTGCAAATCAAATTGCCTGTCGATGTATTATGACAGGTTATACGAATCTGAATGGGAAATGCTCATCTACTGAAATTCCGTCAGAATCCACACCCCAGCGTGTAGGTAAAAACAATTTTTTCTGTTGCAACTTGTCGTTTGCAAGATTCCAAGAATAAAACATTTCACCATGGAATTACAGAAAGCAAAAAGTCGGAGCAGAAGACTACACTTTGATGCTCTGTATGAGACGAGAGGTTCTTTCCAATGCCATGTGTATACGTCCCTAGCCACCATCATCACTGCAGTTTTTGATGATGACAATGGAATTGGACTCGCTTTATGAGCAATGAGTGCATTCTAAAGAAACCATGTTACATTCTTCGTTGTATCTACTAAAATTATCTACCTCCATCAGTTCACAGAGCCCAATCTTCATGGTAAAGTTGAAGGATATCAACGGTCGCAGTTGGACAACCTTTCAGGGAGACAATTCGATGGTCCTAAAGTGGACTTACCGAAAGTCAATCAAGCTCAAAGAATACGTAGGTTAAGTGAATTTGACAGTTACGTATCTACCAGGCATTACAAAATATCAGAGTACAATGGCAGTACACTACATGCAAATTTGGAGTGGCAGATCGACAATACTTGCTATGGCGAGCAGAACGGTGTAGTTATATTCACAGTTTCCATGTCACGAACAGACAAACAAAGTGCTCCTCCGGGAGGCACAGGTCTTAAAAGACAACGAGTGAAGATGACATGCCTTGGACCTCGGTCAGAAGCCGAAAGAGGTCCGTCGAATTTCAAAAGACAGGACATGTGTCTGCTGTATTACTTGCTCTTTTCTTATACTCTTGTCCCTGGTACCTGGACTATCATATTCATAAAGTGGCACTGGTCCTCCAGGTAAGACTAGCACTACTACTGTACTTCAACACTTGCTCGATGACGGTCGGCTAAAGTGAAGGTCACCTTCGTAATAAAAAATGGCGTCTGCAGCAAACCGTAAGACTCCTTTGCTCATGGGACGCAGGAGCTTCAGGCTTCAGTTCATTTCGATATGTGCGAGCATGAAGAAGATCACCGCCTTCAGACCCTGGTGGAATGATGAGGCGGAAAAGAGCAACGGAGGACGGACGGGACCTGAATTCGTGCCTGCAGAATAAAATTACGATCGATGTCGCCCCACGCCTCGCCTCGTACTCCGGTCATACGTACAACGCCTGCAGGGGCCGAGGGCCACCCGGTCACACGGCGGCCCGTCCGTTATGGCCCGTTGGCCCAGAACTGTGCTCCTCCTTTCAGGGATCGTCAGCCAGTCAACGATTGTATCATTCCTGTCATCCATTCCAATCTCGTGTCAGAGATCCGGACTCGATCGCCGAGTAAAAGCCCAACTGTACTCGATTCCCCACCTCGACTGCGTTGCGCGCGCGGACATGGGTTTGACCTCACCGACCACAGTCGGTAGAAACTCCATCCCCATGCCCAATTTCAAAATTCTCTGTAAATCTCGAGACATGCCTGCGAGTGAAATTTCCCCCTTTTCCCAGAGCTATTACCAAGAGAATGACGTCGCCCCGGACATCCAGCGCAAAGGTCCAAATAGGTACAGGTCCGCCTGTACCCTTCGAACCGTATGAGGGCGAGATACCGGAATCCACAATACCAGGATATGTGTATCGTAGGTGGGGGCCAACAGAAGGGCACAGAGAGAGAGAGAGAGGGACAGGAATGCACAGAAGAATAAGAAAAAGGAGGGGCACAGAACTGACTACTGCTGAGCACGAACGTAAGTTCATGTAAAGGAAAAGGCCAAATGTTGAGCCAAAGCATAGGCAGCACATAGAGGGGAAGTTATAACATGTACATAATAATAATAATTATTATTATTATTATTGTGATGGATCTGCTTTTTTTGCAAATAATTACGGGTACAGATCACTCTCTCTACTGTGATGGGAGAGCCGTACCATGCGCAGTGAGTGCTGCAGGGGCTGGGGCTGGGGCTGGGACTGGAAGTCAAGTCCGGGCGAGAGCGAGGCCTCGCTAGCTCCGGGAGACCGACTGCGTGGAGGAGACTCGCCACTTCTCAACTGCTGAACTGAACGTAAAGAGTTTGGAGAGGAGCGGCGCGAGCTCTACCGCCGCAACTTGGGGGCGGGGGAATTATGGGGTCGACTGCGTTGGACCTGGCAGGGCTAATGAGCATGGTGTGATGATCATGCACATCTTGTCGCTCGCGCTCACGCACCACTTGATGCTGGTGCGCGCACAGCAATTCAGCTGAGCCTCGCTCGGGCCCTCGGGGGCCTCGGGCGCTTTTCGACAAACTACAGTGGTCGTAGGCCCAGCATATAAGATCTCAGCAGTGCGTGGTCTCGCAGCAACTCAGCGGACGATCTCACGAGCAGAGTGAGAAGCTGCTCTCAGGACTCCGCCTTTCGCTCGTCCTCACTCTCTCACGTCGCTCTCTGCTCACATCCAGACCCAGAGAGAGGCAGAGTCTCGCGGTCTAGTGCTCGAGGAGTGTGGACCGACTGACAGCGCGAGCAGTGGTCGTGCCCTTGCGTGCTCTTCAAGCCCGTGCGCGGATTCTCATCAATCCAGTCCGTGAGAGGAGGTGCCCAGATCTCGCCAGCAGCTCGACGGACGCCTGGTACAAAGTACCGAATTCCGAGGAAGGGAGCAGCAGAAGACGAAGAAGGAGAAGGCGAGGGGAGAGGATCATCTCGAACGGAGCTGCCGAACTGTCTTTGGGCAGGTCCAGCGCTGAGAAGAATGGTGGTCGAGACTGGAGCAAGCGAGGTGAGCATCGTGGAGCAGAAGATGGCAGCTCTGGGATCGCTGTGCTTGCAGCCTGAGAAGGCAGGAGCCATGGACCCGCTGTGCTGGGGCCAAGCGGCGGAGAAACTGTCAGGATCGCACCTCGAGGAGGTGAGGAAGCTAGTGAGGGAGTTCCAGGAGACGAAGGAGGTGAAAATTCAGGGTGTGACATTGAGCGTCGCCCAGGTCGCAGCCGTCGCCCGCAATGGGGCTCAGGTCACATTGGACGCGGAGGTGGCCAAAGAGCGCGTGGATGAGAGCTCGCAATGGGTGCACGACAATATGATGCGAGGGACCGACACCTACGGGGTCACCACGGGATTCGGGGCCACCTCGCACCGGCGAACGAACCAGGGCGTGGAGCTGCAGAAGGAGCTGATCCGATTTCTGAATGCGGGAGTGATCAATGTGGGCGAAGGCAACACTCTGCCGGCTGCCACCACGCGCGCCGCCATGCTCGTGCGCACCAACACTTTGCTGCAGGGCTTCTCGGGCATTCGATGGGAAATCCTCGAAGCGCTGCAGAACCTGATCAACTCGCAGATCACTCCCAAGCTGCCTCTGCGCGGCACCATCACCGCCTCGGGCGACCTCGTGCCGCTCTCGTACATCGCCGGGCTGCTCACTGCCAGGCCCAACTCGCGCGCCCTGACGGCCGACGGGCGCACCGTGACGGCCGAGGAGGCGCTAAAGCTCGCCGGCGTCGCGGCCCCGTTCGTCCTGCAGCCCAAGGAGGGGTTGGCGCTCGTTAACGGAACCGCCGTCGGCTCGGGCTTGGCTGCCACCGTGTGCTACGACTCCAACGTGCTGGCCGTGCTGGCCGAGGTGACGTCGGCGCTCTTCTGCGAGGCCATGAACGGGAAACCGGAATTCACCGATTACCTGACGCACAAGCTCAAACACCACCCGGGCCAGATCGAGGCCGCGGCCGTGATGGACTGGGTGCTCGACGGCAGCGCGTACATGAAGGCGGCCGAGGAGCTCCACCGGACGGACCCGCTCAAGAAGCCCAAGCAGGACCGGTACGCTCTGCGGACGTCGCCGCAGTGGCTGGGTCCGCAGGTCGAAGTCATCCGGCAGGCGACGCACTCCATTCAGCGCGAGATCAACTCCGTCAACGATAACCCGTTGATCGACGTGTCGAGGAACATGGCCGTTCACGGAGGCAACTTTCAGGGGACGCCCATCGGCGTCTCCATGGACAACCTGCGCCTGGCGCTCTCGGCCATCGGGAAGCTCATGTTCGCGCAATTCTCCGAGCTGGTGAACGACTTCTACAACGGCGGCCTGCCGTCGAATCTTAGCGGCGGGCCGAATCCGAGTCTGGACTACGGGTTCAAGGGAGCAGAGATCGCCATGGCGTCCTACTGCTCCGAGCTGCTGTACCTGGCATCGCCGGTCACCACGCACGTGCAGAGCGCGGAGCAGCACAACCAGGACGTGAACTCGCTGGGGCTCATCTCGGCGCGCAAGACCGAGGAGGCCGTGGAGGTGCTGAAGCTTATGTTCGCGACGTACCTGGTCGCGCTGTGCCAGGCCGTCGACCTGCGGCACCTGGAGGAGAACCTGCAGGCGGCCGTGCATCAGGTCGTCAAGCAGGTGGCCAAGAAGACGCTCTCGGTCGGCAGCGCGGGCGTGCTGCTGCCGTCGCGCTTCGCCGAGAAGGACCTGCTCAAGGTGGTGGCTGACGTGCACGTGTTCCTCTACGCGGACGACCCCGTCAGCGCCGCGTACCCGCTCATGGACGGCCTACGTAAGACTCTGGTCGAGCACGCCCTGAAGAGCCCCAAGGACACCGAGTGCAACGCCGACACGTCCATTCTGCAGAAGATCCCGCTCTTCGAGGACGAGCTCAAGGCGCAGCTCCCTGGCGCCGTCACGGCGGCCCGAGAGAATTACGACAAGGGCGTCACGGCCAGGTCCAACAAAATCAAGGACTGCAGGACGTACCCTCTGTACAAGCTGGTGCGTGAGGACTTGGCGACCAAATTGCTCAGCGGCACCGAGACTCGCAGCCCCGGGCAGGACATCGAGGTCGTGTACGAGGCCATCTCGCAGGGCAAGCTGGCCACTCCTCTCCTGCAGTGCCTGGAGGGATGGAACGGAGCCCCGGGCCCGTTCTAAACAGCAGCAGCAGCAGCAGAAGAAGAAGAGCAGATCAGATCCGTGCATAAGACTCCCCACATTGGGGATTGTGGCTGCCTGGCCTCGGCGTGGTTGTGACAGTCGTGTAGAGATTGCCCTTGTAAATTAGGATCCGCAACGGGCTCAACGAGATTGGGCCAGGCGAAGCATGGTCATACGTCGACAGTAGAATCAGAATCAGAATCAGAATTCTCTGAATAACGCGGCGACAATTTGCCTCTGACGAGCGACTGACTGCCAGGAGGTAGGCTCCAAGTCGCCAAATTAGGATCATCCTCTGCATCCCTCTCGCACTCTTAGAGAAGCCAGCCATGCCGAGTGTTCACGCGGTTGGGCGGGAAGGAAAGTTAAACGCCATAGGTTTGCACGAGTAGATAGGAGTCGGATGAAGATTATTGGTCCATCGTGCTGCGGGCGAAGATGGAGACCAAGTTTTCAAAGGAGATAGGGAGAGAGAGAGAGAGAGATTATAGGTAAACGTTTAGGCGTAGAGCGGATTTCGAGCTGCAATCCACGGGATGGTAATCTTTGATGTACACTATTACTTCGTGCACAACATTTCCGTCGGAGATTCATACAAAAAATTGTCAATACATTTTAAGTTTCCCGACTACCCCACTCTGTCTCTGTCTTCTCTGTCCTCTTTAAGTCTGCATGCATGATCAAGCTGATCGGTTACTGTCACATTCATCATCATGCATTGTTGATATTACAATACGATCTTCCATCTCTGCAGTAGCCGGACAACAATCTAATTCTCGGTATAATCATCCTTTGTATACACTGTTTTCATGAGATTGAACGTGATATCCTGCTGTAATGATGAAGATTTGATTTGTTGCAAAATGTGGCCTCGCAGTAAGCAATTTGAAATCATTGTATGTATACCGAAATATCGACGACTTCACGCACGCTGCAGCCAAACAATTTGATGTAAAAAACACGTTCACTAGCAAAAAGTCAAATGTAGATTTAACGCCGAACATGGAAAAATAATCAGCGTTTGCAAATAACATTTGATATGAATATATGAAACTTAAAATATGAACATATTGTTCATATTTTAACATATCTCGACATGATAAATATACCACTAATCTACATGATAGATCGTGGAAAAATGAAGTTGCTCAGCAACTCAAAAAATTCGAAATGGGAAGGAGGAAAAAAAATTCCCTCGACACTAATCTGTACTGTGAACAAAGCAAGAGTTTGCGACGATTGTGCATGTCGGTGAATACATGACTGTGCATGAAAAATCATAGTCGGCAGGTGGCAGAGAAACGAGCCACTTCCAAGGCGCCGAACGATGATTCTGAGCCCATGCGTAATAGCAGCTGCATCCCTCTCCAGAACTCACCTCACATTGTGATCATTCGTCACCAAACTCCTCATTACCTTCGGCAAATCCGCCGCAGATTCAAAAACACGAACATCGAGCTCTGATATGATCGGTGCCTGACGGAATGGCGGGTACTTTCACACACACTGACTCTGTCCAAACTCCGCCTGGGCTGTACCACAGTCAGTCAAAAACAGCGATGTGCACTCTCGCTTCAAGCCGCGCTGTAAATCGACAGAGTCCGGGGCGTTCTCGGGGTAGCATGGTCGGCGTTGTCTTGACCAGGGTCGCCGGGAGACGCATGGATTGAAGACGCTCGAGGGATTCGGATGCAGGACTATGCCGAAGACGGTGAATCAAATTGCTCGACCGATAAGTGGCATGATCTTTGCGGCATGGTTGAAATTCCAGCTTCCTTCTGTGAGTGCCGATTGTGCGGAAGGCGCAATCGGTAGCTCGCCCACGATCCTTGACAGTCTGATGAAATGTGATCAGCGACGAGGAGGAATGAAGAACGGCCATGCTCAACCCTTCGGTCACGGGAATATTCAAACCGGAGGACCACGTGTAGCGCAGGCAGGTTTTCGCTTTCGGACCGAAAGTCAGTCGCGAGCCACCACGTGCGGCACGTGAGGCTCGTTCGGGAATCAGGAGCAGAGCAGAGCAGTGCAGGGCCAGGGCAGCGACCGAGACCAACGAAGCAACGCTGGGGCACAGACTGGAGGACGGCGGGGCGTAGGGATGCAGGGATGCAGGGAATTGCAGGATTCTAGCGGCCGAAGCTTGGCAGAATTCGGCGTGCTTTCCTCAACGCATCTGAATCTCGAGCAGAGTGTCGAGTGATCAATCGTTCAGGGAATCGGAATTCATTCTCCACGTCGCGATGTTCCTCGGATTGTTGTCATTCTTGACATGCTCCGAACGTGTGTACAGCTTGCGGACGAAGAAAGCACACGTGACAGCCAAGAGTGTTCCACACGGATCGATTCGTAGATGTTGGTAGAACGAGCTGTGATTTGGACCATGCTCAGCCTAGTGCGTGCCTTGAGGAGAAAACTTGTGAATATCTGACGCTGAATGTCAATCAACCGTCAGAACATTGGACTGCTGGCAGGCGTCTTCTCGTCGGGCTCGTGCATAGTGCGTCGACTTTGTTCTTGTTTTGATCTCAGTGTCTGACAGTCACGATGTGCAGACTGAAGAGAACAGCTTTCCAAATGATTGGAAACGAGAAAAGAGTCAAGGTGAGAAGAGGATTTATCGGTCTCTCTACCTACGTCACCCATCGTGAAACTAGTATTTACTTTCGCATCAAGTATACGCATTTCGAGCATAGATCTTGATCTGCGCCAACATTTACTTTGCATGCGCCCTTCGCACAGCTTGTGGATCTTCTGTCGCTTTGAAGTGGTTGCAGTTCTTACAAGACTGTAGTCGACATGTACTTCTCGAATCGAATCGGCAGTGGGTTTGACTATACTACAGACAAGCTCTCTTCAAATAGAGAGGAAGGGACTCCGAAATTGTCTATCGTGCCGGGCAGGTGTAACTGGCCATCGTGACTAGCAACGCATGCGGGAGGTTTTACAATTTTCTCTTCATCCTTTCCTAGACGTCATTGCATGGACCTTGCAAGCCTTCGAGATCAGACCAGATCAACTCGCGAGGTGTTTGACAAATCCAGTCCTCTACTGGATGTAGTTGACTTGATTTCTTCCGTTTCTTTCAATGCCTAAAGAAGACCATGAAACAAAAGTTCTTTCGGAGAAAAGAGTGAAATCTCATAGTACGTGGTGGTTCAAAAATCACGTAAGCAATACAGAAAATTACAGTACATCACAGTACCCTTTTCATTGTGAGTCCAAGCAGTCTGACATGACAGTGGATTAGGTGGGTAGCTGAGAACTTCCCAGCAATCTTTAAGTCGGATTCAAGAAGTCGCATATCCTGAACGAATCTTTCGCAATGGATGGAAATGACAAATGTGACGAAGGTTTTAATGAAGTCGTTTTACAAGGGGACTGACAATAGAAATACATTATTTTTCACGTCCACTTGAGCAATGTCGGCTCGTAATCAGCCGGCGCTTCAAATCCCAGTAGGTTCATAAACGTCGCAGTAACATTTGCGAGACCCGCATTGGGCAGGTCGGACCGAAACTTAATGTTGGCTGGAAGTCCTGGGCCACCAATCGCGCAAGGGACCTGTACGAGGAAGAAAAAACATGGAACAAACACGAATTAGGCGCCGGTGCTTGACAACATTCTCTAGATAGAGCAGAGTTAGATGATGCGTACAGAAATTGTGGACTGAACTGTAATCAGCGCTTTCTCGGGAAGACTATGAGGCAAAACACGAAAGTAGTAAAAATCTACACATGCATCTCTCTTTCAAGAAACTCGCATCACTTGGAACAGGAAGGAGGGACACACGTAAGTATCTCGGATTGAAACAGAACAAATAACACATACTTTTTGACCTGAGAAATGCAACGACGTTACAAAAAGATACAGGCTGCCAACACCCGAGAATTGAAAAGATAGCTTCTACCTGGACGTGAAAAAGAATAAGTAAATGAAGAGGTACCGGAGCTAATGTATGTGATGTCAATGGTATGGCATTTCCTTCCTCGTCTTTCAAAGCTTCACCCTTCTTGTTACGCTGGGCCATATCATCAGCGTTTCCGTGGTCTGCTGTAACCATGTATATACCTCCAACCTGCTTTATGGCATCCAACATAAGCTGCAATGAGCCGGTTCAGGCCTAGAGTTAGTAAAGAGCACGAAACCACATCGTTATAAACGCAGAGGATAAAATAAGGACATATTACACGTGCTTACTTTAACATACTCCACATCATGATCAGTATACTATAAATATCGTTGATGTAGAGCTTAAAGGTAAATTCAAAATGGGGTGCTAACTATATCTAGATTATATCCCAGTTAAGTATAGGCGTTCCTAGCAGCAGGAAAATAGCTTTCGAAATCAACTGGTATGATTGTGATGGGGCACATTGTCCTCAACTCCGGAAAATCACTAGTTTATGTTCCAGCCACTTCGAACTTTCTGTGGAGCTCTGTCATGAATATTAGGAGTCTTCACCCGAGCATGCAGCTTTTCTACATGTAAAGCTCAATATTGTTCCCTCCGGCAGTTTGGTTTCCTGTCTGCCAGAATCTACCTTCTACCATCTGAGCAAATTCTGATTTGCTTGATGCCAATACATTACGCTGTTGTCTGCCCTTTCGCTCCAGCGGTTGGAATTTAGGTGTTCAGTTTTTCCTCCTCCAATATCCTAGACTTAAGACCACAAAAGCCGGTGAATGCAATATGATACAGAATCATACCTTAACGCCTTTATCAACTGCTTCACAGGCAACTAGGACCGAACCAAAGTCCCCAGTATGCCCCACCATGTCTCCATTCGCCAAGTTCACCCGTATAAAGTCATATTTACCAGAAAGAATAGCTTCCTTAGCAGCCTTCGCAATCTGATCAGCCTTCATCTTCGGTTTCTCGTTGAAGGGACAAGTGTCACTAACAATCTCTAGATAAGTCTCAAGCTTCTCATCCAGCTTACCAGAACGATTCCCGTTCCAGAAAAATGTAACGTGGCCGAATTTTTGCGTTTCACTGTCAGACCACGTCAAAACATGAAGAAACAGACAGAATTATTAAAAGTTTCTGACCTGGGCAACTGTTTCAAGACGATGAACAAACAGAGAAATTGATAGGTGAATGGTGAAGTCTACAGATAAGACTCGTTTACCTGCAAGCAAATGTCCTGACTCCATTCTTCACCAAATATACACCTGAAGTACGTTCAATCAGTGGAGGAGATACAAGGTAGTTTTTAGGAAGCTTGAGATCCCCATCATACTGCATCATCCCCGCAAATTTCACTTTAGGATATCTTTTCCTGTCAAACTTCTTGAAGTCCTCGTACTCGAATGCCTTGCTCAACTGAGCAACTCTGTCCGCACGGAAGTTGAAAATTACCACAGCATCACCATCCACGATAGGACCAACCGGAGCTCCACTCTTATCAACGATCACGAAAGGTGGTAGGTACTGATCGTTTGTATCAGGGTCGTTCTTCCTTATTGTCGTGATCGCTTCTACAGCATTTTGGAACTTGTGAGGAGCCTCTCCAAGCACATGGGCGTGCCACCCACGCTCGACTATCTTCCAGTCTGCCTGCACGACGTAGAAGCTTCAGCCTTACATTTACAGTCCTTCCACAGCTTTCGTTTCATACATGACAGGATCCGGCAATCAATACAAATTCCTTCATCAGTAGAGGCAAATGGAGAGCAACAAACTTGCAATGATGAAACTGGGCGAAGGTAAATTGATTACGCAAATCAAATAGCGTCGGAGCGGATAACACGTCATGGACTGACCAGCCTACCTCCTTAGACTTGACTCGATGTGATGAACTGAATGACGTTGGGCTACCGACTTTTGAGCCAGTATCCGGCAAAACTGCGCGCAGCAATTGAACTCCTTACTTGATAGTGGCTAACTTAATGGACTGCGGCCTGCCAAAGATGGTTGAGAATTGGAACCAGGTTTCAGCCGTTCAGAATGCACAGGGGATATGGCTCGACCCACAATAACAGACCTTTTAAAGCGACTACCTAGCAGCGGAAAGTACAATAAATCTTGCGGTTCGACTTTTATGCCAGTCACCTCATAGCGATCCATCGTAACGAACATGCGACCACCTCCAGACGCAACTCTGGCGTCGCAACCTTTCTTACGCAAGGCCTCCAAGTCCTTTTCCATTTCTGTAAAGAACTTAATGCTCGACCCTTCGGCACAGTCTCGGCCATCCGTGAGACCATGAACCCGGATTTTCTTGCACCCCTGTTCAAAACAACCCTTCATCAAGGCCGCCAGTTGATCATATCTGGAGTGCACGCCTCCATCGCTAACGAGCCCAATGAAGTGCTGCGTCCCCGGTGCATTGAACCATGCTTGCTTGATGTACGCGAAACCTTTATCCTTGTAAAGCTTCCCGCTGCGCAGGGCAGTATCGACAAGTCCAGCCCTGCAGCTCAACGATAAAGGGGTCTCAATACACGAAGTTGATCCAGGTCTGAGGATTGTGGGCGGGATGCTCTAAAAAGGACTCGCGACTATATCGTGTACAAAGATACACGATGTAGTAACACTGCTCAGGCATAAATGACCGCAATTGCAGAGTATTCTGCTGACTGGAGTTGGACGCAAATTCATGACTAGACTGACAGCAGTCCCAGGGACGACGTGATGCCATCGTCTCAAATTGCAACGCACTGCCGCTGCGAAAGGAGCGAGCAAACATTGCCACAAAGTTGAATTGATATGTTTGGACAAGTGAGCACTCAAAGGACAGGCAATGTGGCCAAACGGAGAAATCTTCTCGATCGAAAAGAGGGCACATCGGATCGAAATGAATCGAATCGCATCAAATTGGCAGTGAAGTTGAAGATGAAAGAAGAACACCGACCCCTGCTCGATGACTTTGCCGGCACCCATGGCATTGTGGCCGACCTCGCTGTTGCCCATGTCCTGATCGCTGGGCAGGCCGACGGCGGTGCCGTGGGCCTTGATGGTGCGCCAGCGGGCGGGGGCGCCATTCTTGAGGGCCTTGATGGTGGGAATCGAGGCCTTGAAGATGGCGTTGTAGTCGTCCTCGCGGTTCTCGCCCCATCCGTCCAGCACGCACAGCAGGAACGGCGTGCCGCGCTTGATCACCGGGTGCGCCTTCAGCTTCCAGTCGACTTTGACGGGCTCGGTCGCGCTCGAGCCTCCGCAGCAATTCATTTTGAATCCGCCGATCCGCGGCTTCAAAATGTCGTCGTCCCGCGTGCCGTCCCTCTCGATATGCTCGAGAGTGGGCCCCACCGCCTTCCCGAGCACAGGCCTTTTTCCGCTCCGTTTTCCCATTCGATGTGCCTTTTCGAGCTCTTGTCCTATCGGGGCACGTGGCGTTCCCCGTTGATTTTCGGCCGATATGTGCTGTGAGTTCCTTGTTCAAAGCATATGGTCTCTCTATCCGACTATCTCCGTGAAATACTAGATGTGTTGAATAGGGTTGGGAACTATACATGTATAATCTATTTTATTATACATGTATATTATACACTGTCAAAAAAAAATTTATTCTTGTTCATTTTCTTCTCCGAAAGCATCTGCATCATGGTCACTCTCTTGTCCAATCATGACTACCATCATATTCTCATCCTTTTCCCGCATTCTCACATTTGCATACGGCACTACAAGACCTTCTGCCTTTTTTGATCCCAACCTCTTTTCTCCGTTTTGTATGAATGAAGTCATAAATGCTACAGATACGCTCACTCTCCGCGAAACTTGTAAAACAGGACAATGAACTACTTCTATGTATGATTTAGGCATTTAATCTCTCGGGATCTTCCTGCTGCATAATTCTCCTCTCTCCGTTCGTGAGAGTCATGCAGATGCAGCTCTTCTGTAGCCTGCGTGACTGGCATGCCTGGCTGACTTAATGATGCAACCTGATGTCTAGAGCATGACTCATGCTCTAGGCATCTGGCTAGAAAAATCAACCTTACACAACCTTCCCTGTTCATAAGTATACATGTATAATGCATATCAATATACAAATTATACATGTATAAAGTGTATAATTTATTATACATGCAAATCGGTCAAATCCTAGTGTTGAAGGTAAAAATTCACACAATAGAAAAAAAATTTGAAAGGAAATGAAAAGATGAATTTATTCAATTTTTAGCTCATTTTATTAGTGCATTTTTTAATTGAACAATGCTAGCATTCATTTTTTATTTTTTTTCCATTCTTAGTCTTTGCTCATAAGAATCAAATTTGGAAAAAAATGTTACCAGTTAAGAAAGGAAAATACATGATAGATTATATTCTATTATTGATGGATGAAAAGAGAGGAATCGAGTTCACGTACGTTGTTGGAGACGTTGTAGTTGTAATTTGATTGGTATTACACATGGTATATGATCCATAATGTTGTTGACATCGTGAGAACATATCATTGATGACATGGACAAGATGTCAATGTACTTGTAATGTTTTTGTTTATGGTATCAAAGTTAGTGGTTAAACACATTTTTCAATTAGCTTCCGACATGCGTCCGGGCGGAAATGTGTATTTGTGAGTAACATTGATTTCTTTTATCATGATAAAAGTCATCAATTACCAATAAATATGCTCTTCTATTCATTGCTTTAGAATACTTATTTCCACAATATTACTTCTACATTATCACTTGAGATTGAATAAAAAATATTAATTTGATTTATATTGTTTCTTTGATACCTCAATATCAAAAAATATACAAGTTGCATACAATATTATTATAACAATTTATAGTGTGTCAAGTATTATAGCAAAAATGATAGAATAACTCTATTTAGCCATACAAAGATAACAAAATATGAGTATTGTGAAAGTAATAATATATCATATTTCACCTAAGATATTTAAATTATAAAAATTAGATGTTCCAAAGAAATCACAAGCAGAAAAAAACATCATTTTATGTGTTTACAATATCGTTGCTAGCACTAGCTATTGTTACATAGAAACCACTAGCTAAGTAAATCATTACTTTGTGGTAAAGATATTTTTACAAAATTTATTCATTTTACATTTTTTTTTCATAAATAGGTTTTAGAATGAAAAAACTATGATACAATAGTTTATTACACAATTTTGTACAAACATGTCAAAATCAGCATACATAACTCTACCTAAGTTCCAAGATAGAGTGATAACTATTTGACTTCTTTATCATGTGTCTTTTTATTTACTATTTTTAGTGTCAATCTAGGGTTAGAAGTCAAAAAGACTTGAAAAATGTTCAGTTCTTTGAATCGAGCATGTAGCGTTGGAAGTAGTCTTCACTGGGTTGACCATAGTGTACGTAAGCGTCGACATAGATTCTCTAGTGAGTGGGTTGGACTCTACTACATGTGAATTGTAGTATTTGCTAGTGGAATAACCACGTATTATTTTCAATCAAATAACTCATGTTCATTGAAATTGTTACGGTTTACAATTTCTGGTTATACTAGTTTCAAGTTTTGATGTTTTTTCTTGAAGTTGCAATTCACTTAGATTTGATAGGGGAGTTGCATTATTTGAGGAAAAATGAGGATGGCCGCTGTTGATACATGAATATTCAACAAATCATGAAGTGAAGAAATTTTGACATGTGATCGTTAGGAGCGAGTTATTGAAGTGGATTGAGACATCGTGTAATTGACATCGTTGGACATACACAATTCCATTTTTGCGAGGAGAAATTACGTGGATTGAAGGTAGTTTGCATGTAGACTTTGAAGTAGTTGTTGAGCATGGAATAAGAGAATAAAGGTGACAAAATTGTCAAATCAGCGATACCGTGGACAAAATTGTTAAAAAATTTGGACTCTTTGTTGATTTTGTTGTTTTTATTCAGAACAGGATAAAGGCTTTGTCCACCCTTTGCATAGTGACTGAAGTATGTGGAAAAGACTCTAGTAAACACTTTACAAATTCTCTCAAAGTTTACACTTTCTCATCACACAAGCTCTCAATCAATCAACAACTTTACGATAGTTTAAATGCGGATGTTCATTAGTAGGAAGTGAGATACAAGCAAAGATGTTACCGTCTCATGATCTCAACAAGAGTCGGAAATTGATTTGGACGTGATCCGCCAGAAGATTTCAAATTATAATTAGGATGTAGCACTTCTGAAGGTGTTACATGGTGTGTTTTCGCGTTTCTTTTAGTCGAAAGTATGAAAGCTCCATTAGGAGAAGCTGATGATTGTTGCTGCGGGTGATAGTGCTCTGTTTTTGGGAAATATCATTGACTTCGTCAGTGGAAAGCAGGAGCTGCATAGAATTTCAGAAGTTCAGTTTCAGATTGCGGTGGTTGTTGCATTGAATTAGAAAACCACAGCCAGTGCTGAGAGCTTTCTTGGCTGCTTGAATTGAAATTTGTTGTAAAATCAAAGTGCAAGAAGACAAGACTGTGCACGAAACCGTGTATCAGATGGGTGGCTGCTCGTGGCAAGAGATAAGCATCACCTTGTTGAGTAGAATCCAGTGATGTAACGAATCGTGATAGATTGAAGTTGAAACTTTGCATCAACGTCTGCAAATGAAATGGGAGAATAATATAGTTACAAGCAGAATCTAAAATGCTTGTTATCAAAAACTTCCTTACAAGAAGGAGCAATCGGTTGCAAACTACCAACTAGAGCACGTTAGGATTGTAAGGACTAAAGTCCGTGTGAGTTCACAATATTTGTCACATTATAGGCGACGTAAGAGAAGACGAGTTTGGAAATCTATGAGGTGCTCTTGTTTCCTTGGTCATGTCGATTGGCTAGTATTATGCAACTCTAGTTTACTACATACTCAACTTTTCTCCAATGTTATCTCCTTGTAGAGATAGAAGGAAAACTGATGCAAGACAATCTCATTTCAGGTCTGAACTTCGAGCACACCTGATCTAGAGTAGTCTTCCCGAAAATATGGTTGAGGTTAACTGTACTTGCAGAAACAAGCCTTTTGTTGACGCAATATATACTCAACTTTAGTGGGTATCATTGAAGACACAAATCTGTAGTTTACGAGAATAAGAGCATTGAAGAGTGAGAAGAAAGTCAAAATAAAAATCAGTACGTTTCAAGTAAGTCTTCACGTTCACAAGAACGACCGTCTCCGCAATACAGTGGTGAATAGCCGGAAACTGCTTTGAATCGTTGATGGAATAGTTAAATAAGCTAGCTCTATCTTTCATACAATCAATATTCCAGTCATGAAGATTCTTAAGTCTTAGATCTACAATAGAGCAAGAGGTTTCTTCGTGATCATATGCTACGAAATGATCTACAAGGATTTGCTTTCAAGCTCTAATCTTATACAATCTTTTGGTCTACAGGGTAGTAAAATAAACACATCTCTTTATAATACATTCTGAAAATTAAAGTTATTATTAGTTTGAAATGCACTAAATGTAAGTGCAAATAATAAAATATCAGAATCAAATGTATGTAGTGAAGTGTTGAGTGGAGATGAAGTTACATAAACTTCTATGTATTATGATGTTGGAACCTGTAGATTATCTTTGAAGGTCTTGTAGCTAGCAAGAGAATTGATACATTTACTTAGCATCCTGAAGTCAACAAGCTATAGCAAAATTCTAATATTGTTCTCCTCAGTTCATGGTCACGTTGATGTCTAATATACTCTCCTCAGTTTAATAATCAAGTATCTAGGAGGAATATTCAACTACAATTCTTGTAGATTAGAGTCATTGAAGTTATAATGGTAGAAAGTTTGGTTGGCAAGAGTAGTATCATGGCTCTTTACAAACAAAATTTGTAGAGAGTCTTGTAAAATCGTCAGACATAATTTTCTTTGATGAAGTCAATGTGAGTTGACACGGGAAGAAAAAAACAAAACCAAAAAGGAGAGGAGAAGAAAAAAGAAAAAAAAGAAAGATTTAGGTTTCAAAATTATAAGAACCTTATTTGAAGGTACCGAGAGTTTGCATCCGTTCTCACCTACTATTGTTTTCAAGTTTGAAGTGGAGTGTGACAGTCCGGTGTGGAAACTTTCTTTGCCACTTGGTGGAAGAGATGGCATTGTAGGCAATGGAGATGTAAGGTGATAGGAAACGATAGATATCGAATCGAGATTGTTACGCGCTGTGATGTCCAGTGTGTGTTGTGTTGTTTTGTGTTGTGTTTTCTTTGGACTGGAGAGTCGTTGCTAGTTGTTTGGATCCTCTCCAGTCTTGTTCTTGATGCGCGCCTGTGTATGAGTTGATGCTGGTTTCCAGAGTACATTTACAAATTTCTGAACTTCAAATCCCTTTTCAACTTTGTAGAACCGCACTGCAGGTAGCAAGCTCATGACGACACCAAAACCTGTTGAGAAAAGAATCAAACTTCCTAAACGATGTAACTTGTGAAACTATTTAAAAGACAAATCTTGAGGAATTCTGCTACTCAGAAATTCAAATCCGTCAATTATTCGAGTGAATAATGAATTGTGATATCTTTGAGTGTGTACGCTCTTGTGTTTCATGTGTGTGTGAGAGAGAGTAGCATATCAGTAGTGTAGAGTATATGACGATACATATTCGCACAACATCTTTGCTTTTACTATGGTTGGAGACACCGTTCATTGAGACTATGAAATATGATATTTGATGGTGGAAGTATACTTTTAACACAATTTCCAATGAAGCGTAAGGGTGAAAATCATTACATGTGGTATCATTAAATTGATACTTCCATACCAAGTACAATGAATCAACGACAACAATACATATAAATGACACTCTTTTACTTTCTTCTAGTGACACGTGAGGTATATACCGTCATGCACCATTACGGTTGTAATGACAATTTTGTAATCCAACTCGAGGTACACTTCATTATAACGAAGGATACTAGCTCACTTTTTTGGCCATGAAGTGGAATTCACTATTCTCGTTGTTGGCATGTTTCTCTCCATATGCTATACCTTGGAAGACTAGCAGGTAGCAACTGTCAGCAAGTCCGTTGTGTAGAGAAGACCTAGACCTAAATAACGTTGGACTAAGGTTTCTTCCCTGTGGCCTGACAAAGTGAATGCCTACAATAGTTAAAGCAGAGGCAAATTATTAACCTTGACGGTACTCTTTCGTCATGGGTGCGTGAGTTGTAACCAGCTCCGATGATGAGTTTGAGTCCCTGGATCAGTACGGTTTTGACTACAGTTGCTACGACGTCCCAATGGGGGACTTCTTTTCATCGTGACTTGATTCCCGGTGATAGCAGGTGGGACAAGGCGTTGGCTGCGTGGCACATGGAGTAAAAGGGTGACGGGTAACGGGTAACGTCATGAGGTTTCAAGGTCAACAACTTTCCACCTGCTCGGACCTGGATGAAATTTGGATGGTACTGCACTCTCGCAAATCTATTAGCACACAGCTAAGCTCGATTGCGAATATGTTTTGAAGTCCAGAGCTTACAAAAGGTGCATGATAAGAACCAAGAAAATTTGTTGGATCCATTTATGTATTCCCGATATCCTTGATGGACCAGAGCTGTATGATTTGTTTTGCGAGTTCATAGAAGCACTCGTACACTTTCGTCTTTCTCTACGTGCTGCCTGGGATAAACTACCAGCTTTTGCTAGAAAATACTTCTTTCAAAATTCTCTGGCTGTTACTTCTCTCTTGAAGAATGCTGTTTGAGTATTCTAGTTTCTCATCATAATTATTCTTTACAACGTAGGCATCTTGTATTAACCCTTTAATACGAGCAAAATAAAGTATTCTCTCAATCGGTGTGGAAAAAAACCCAGAAAACTATATTACAAAGATCTACGAGGGATGTGAGAATCATAACAAAGTTTTTTATCTAACCGGATTCTGACCGGAACAAATATAAGTGTCCACTCTTGGACGAGGTATAAAGTGCGCTCTCTTCCCCAAGCTACTCAACCTGCAGCCCAAGCGCGAGAGAGAATAAGTGAAGTAGTCATCTTAATAAAAATCACTGTCGAAGAGTGCATCCTTGAGATGTAAAGCTCGGTAATAAGCAACTTCAACTCGACATAAATTCATACACTCAAATTTCTGTCCTTCCGTGCTGTTTTCTCTTGCCCATTTTCATGCCCTCATACATACTTCGATAGTACTGTGAACTCTTCTCATGGCTTGCAGTTACAGCTGTGACGTATCTTGAGAACAATGCAGACCAAAGGTTGTAACACCTCACTTACTGCATTCGAATGCGGAAAACTTCAGCTTCAACTTAATTAACCTGTCATTGGTGCCTCTATTCTACGCTGCCTTGGCTCCGAACTTGGTTCGACATTCATTCTCATACTTCTGATAATCGGCCTCCATTTCTTCGGTCCACGTGCAGAGCTTAAAAAACTGTTCCTCCCGTCCCTGAATGATCGGTGTACATACGTCGAGGCATAAGATGCACACGAGCGAGGGTAGATCAAATATGGGTGGAGATGTCTTAATGTCATCGATACAGTAAACTGCTCGACATGACGAGAAGCGGAACCCCTATTGTAGGAAGGTTGGATAGGTACCTTCAGTATTTCTTTCTGGGCTTGGGCTTTCTCAATCTGCCGCTCGCGTTCTTTAGATCTATTCTTCACGTCGACGACCCAAGCTTGTTGTCTCGCGAAAAAATTACCCATGGCCACTTTCTGCAGGCATATAGTCGAAGCGTATCTATGAACTCAGAAAATATTAAATTGGATTCTCTATTTTAGTAATTGCAACGGTAACTTCGAGAAAACGTAAGTGCAAATTTCGTTTTATATGTGCACGAGACGTCAAATCATACATTCAGAAGTCTTTGTCTTCCAATTTAAATTTTCTACATGGGCTACGGCGTTTCTTTTCGTCCCAATATTTTACCTGTGTCATAATATGCAACGATTGTGTCGACATGTATTGATGGGTTCCTCACATCCGTGAGGAACCTATCAAGACAGATCGGGTCATGTCATTGCCTACACCAAGTAACAGAGATACCTAGGCCCTAGAACTTTAACTCCTATATGTCGCCGTGGAGGGCTTTAAAACGAGAATCTTAAGACCAAATCGAGTTCAACCACTAAACCACCTGTGTTCCGCCAACTTAATGAAAGTTGATGACAAGAGTTTCCTTGAAATTTCTGACAGATAGTCTTGATACTAATCATCTCTTTTGACTATATAAAAACGGAGCCGCTTCCGGACAATCATATCGTCGGAAGTCCCAGTACTAATCTAAAAGAATGAAATCTGCTCAATTTCTGGTTGCAACTACAGGTATGATAGGATTCTCCATCCAGCTGATGTACGAGGTAGAGATTGTTGCTATCAAAGAACACGAGCAGGATAGTATGACACCGTGGTATCTACATTACCAACTAAACCTGACAATAGTATATGTGGGTTACCTCTTTATAAGATGTTCGTCGAAGACTTCTCGGAATTTCCAGGATATGCAAGATGCCTTGGATGTCTCCTACTGCAAGAAATTGTGGAGCTGAAAATGCAATCATTCTACTTATTAGTTGTAGATTCGGACAGAGATCTTGGTTTGGGGCATAGATAGATAAGATATCACTTCAAGAAAGGATGTACATTTGACAATTTTTGCAACCGGTTCGTAACGTGGATTGTAATGTTTCATTAATCATCAAAAACTTCCGTTAAACTTCGAAATCGTTGCTATGTAAATTGCTGCTTGGATTCTGCTCAAAAAGTGATTGCGCAAGAATTTCGTACAAGATATTCTCCAGAACTCCATGACGGTTAGCTGGCATGAACAAACAGTGGCGATCATCGACGGCTGGTGACTATGGTCCAACAAATCCCACACCTCTATCGTTCCATCGATCAAACCTATATAAATTACCGCAGGTCGGGTCGGACTCCAACATCCAGTGGTCAGATAACCCTCAGCACATCTAGAGAGAAAAATTGGCTCCTGTGACAGTAGGTGCACATCGCGTTCAAAATTCGCTACTTGACATTACTTCTTACTGCGCCTTAAAAACAAACCTAGAAATATAATAAATATGCTACCATGTTAAACCTACAACTAAAATACATGCGAGTTTTGTCACTTCAGAATCTAGACTTATTGATTTACATTCTTTCGGCAAACCACTCGCTTACCTGACCCTTCTCTCCTAAATATATTCGTACTTCGTTGTAGAATTTTCTCAACTTTACAAATTTTTCCAAAAATTGACGTTCTTTGTGATTTGTGAAAGTAAAACTCAATCCTCAAAGACCTCGTCATACATTTCTAAGGTCTTCAATGAGAGAAACCCTTGAAGTACAAAGTTAAGTGTTAAGGGTGGCGCCAAAGATGAACGACATACATACTCTCTCTCCGTATCAACAGCTATCTAGCAGCCACATTTAGTATCTTTTGCTTAGCGAAAGTTGTAATTGTTGGACTTCTAACATGCCGCATCATAGCAAGAGCTACAAGTGAAACTCGGGTCAAGCACACAAATATGCCCGTTGGTTGTGTAGTTAAACACACAAGCATATACATAACTTACCTTCACGTTATCCTTCCAAAGTGCGAAGGTCCAGATGCCGATTGACAGTAAAACGGTCTTGAAAAATGGGGAAGCTAGCAAGGCACGGACGGGCCCGTGGTGACATACTGCAATGGACTTGATGTTGTTTCCAGAGGGTGAAGTCACATCTGCATTCAGAATCTCTCCAAACTGAAACGCACGTGGATTAGTTGTGGATTAGTAGTTGATTGATGAATGTGCTACCTCAAAATCTGTAAGAACGTAGAAGAATTGGTTACAACTAAGTCCGATTATATCTTACAGTACAAGCCTGTGAGCCCACCATCTTAGATGATATAAGATCTCATTGATCACCACAAAATAACATGAATGAGCCAAGAATGAATCCTGGCCAACTATATGACAGCGAGGACAACCAGGACAAAAACTGAATGGGATGGTGAAGGTGCCGAATCTCCAATTTTTGAAAACAATAATTAAATTCACCGTTGACACGTCAACTTCCATATTGCCTTCAAGAACTAAGACACTGCGGCACCTATGAACGAGCCACTCCAACAATTTAAACAAGTAGGAGGTACCTCTGTACTGCAATAAAACTGAGTGCCACCGGCGGCAAGTCCGTGTATGGCCATTTTCAAAGGTCCGACTTGCTTGACAGGATCTAAAGAGGCCAAGGTAATCTCAACAACAGGATTCCACTTGTACTTCTCTCCTTCCATAGCAGCCGCTCTCCTTTCATCAGACCACTCAGGACTCAGCTCCGGTTCACCTTTGCTGGTGACGTCCCAAAAGATAACCTGTACATGCCAGACTATTTATTCTGCAAAATGTTCTCGTGAGACGGCAGCCTGGAGTGAAAGGATTTGAACCTCTCATTCTCGGCACGAAGGACCGATGCCTTACCACTTGGCTACACTCCAAATACATTTATCTGCCCAAGAGGTTATTGTTCCGGTGTTATTGACATCACAAAACTAAAGTAGTTGTTGCTGAATCAAAACTTTCTACTTCCCGGTCTTCGTACATAAACTAATATTTCCAGTTTCCGGCTTGGCATTTTTAAAACAATCCTGCATCAAAAAGCTCATTTGGTCCCCTAGCGATTTGTTCCAACATTTTGTACCTGAAGGTCCATAACTTCCCGGTTGAGTGGATAGTGAAATTAAGAACCAACCTTCCCATCCGCAGAGACTGATGCAAGAAAGTTCGTAAGCCCTCTATTGCCAACCATTTGCCCTTTCACGCTCATCTGCAAAACACCAAAGTAAGAAGTATGACAGGTAAATAACTTCGATAATCCATCTGGTATACTAGCAGACAACGATACTCGTCTCTATCATGATAATCAGGTGACTCAGCTCGGTCCGACTCCTCCTGATTTTCTCTCTTCAAGCTAACAAAATGCTAACATTGAAGCTACTCCCTTTCCTAAAAATTCGGTGAAATATGAAAGAACCTGAAAGTCTTCTGGTAGCCAATGAATATCAGAAACGATACTGCTATGAGAATGCTTTGCGCTGCTTAGGAGAGACATCAGAACAAGCACAGCCTTCTCGCTTGTTTTCTTGCTGCTGCTCTCGCTCTTATCCTCAAGCTGCCTCTTATGCCTTCTGTCCACCGTTTCTTGAGCCGTGGTGAGGTCCCACAAAATAACCTAACCTTCTTAATTGTCAGTACCTCAAAGTTTGACGAAGGAAGTAATCAAAGTGGTCGGTTTAACTTCTAGTCCTATTTTTGGATCTCGAATATCAGAATCGTGCGTATATGCATCTAAACATGAAGTCATAAAAGCTCGGTCGTCACTCAAAGATTAATGTTACGCTGAGATCAGCGACAGCTTTGTTAATATCTTCGCAAATACGGAAGCTCTGAAAACAGAAGTTTACGACGAAGCGAAATGTCCGAACTGAGGGCAGTTTCCTCACTTGCACTCACTTTACTACAAACATGATGTTCCTCTTGTAAGCTTTCAGCAGGCACATCAAATATTCAAGTAAAGGTGTATACCTTCTATACTTGAATATTTGATGTCACTTTGCATAATTTCTTGGAACAATCTACGTGACTCTATCACTGGGAAGGATAGCCTCGCAGACATGACACGAAATTGCAAGTACGGATGTACAAATATAATATAAGTAAGAACTGCGGAAATTGTCGTTACCTGGCCATTGTAGCAGCCGCCAGCAACCAACATAGGACGCACAGGATTGAAACGCATACTAAATACATCGGAAGGACTCTCAAGAGCCATCTGCATTGAACAGAAGTCTCTTGGAAAGAAGCTCAATAAAACTTGACATAACTACTAACGAGGACTCTTAGAATGGTGAATCTTCCCGCTTATTCAACATCTTCCAACTTTCTTCCAAAGAACAAAAGGTACCTGAGGGTGAATTGGATCTAAGAAACTCCAAACAAGGACATAAGAATCGCTAGGCTTTCCAGCAATCTGCATTCTTTCGTCGAAAGATTTCGAGTCAGATATGGCTGCTGCAACAATCCCATTTCTGCCGGGCATCCAATCAACAGCTGATACCATCTTTGACCTACCATATGTAATATCAGAAAATGACTGGTACTCCTGGATCAAGAAACAACAAACACTATCTCAGTGCTCGAAGGCAACAAAATAGAATGAAGTTAGGAGTCCACAGAAACTAGAACAGGAAAAATCAACCGACAAAAACACACTGCGAACAAGACAAAAGACGTAACATGTTCATCTCATCTTACTGCCGTAAGCCGATAAGCCAAAGAGCGGCTTCAAAAGTCACAACCACAAGAAATACCTTTTGATCCGGAATGTCCATAGAAAGTTCCAGAGAAACGAGTCTAACCGTTATAGCGGTCGTAGTTTTGTCCCCAAGTTGGTAATCCTCGTCTGCAAAGGTGGCGAAATCATCCTCATACAGGTCCATGACCTCATTTTGCTGTAGGGCATCGACATATCTGACCTACCGTCACAACACTGATGAGTACGGGACGACCGATTGAACGACATGAAGTAGAAAAATTAACGAAAAAACCTGGTTGAATCCTTTGGCCAGATCAAAGGAAAAATACAGACGCTCTTCCGAAAAACTTACAATGGCTTCGAGAACTTCAGAAAGGAACCCATATCAAGACTCCCCATAACCTTTGTCTTTGTTTCAGGATCAAATTGCCGAAACTCGTACTGTGCAAGATTATTTCTGGCTCTCTGCCTTCACAAGCGAGCGAATGCTAATAGCAACGTAGGTCTGAGATTCTGGTTAGCTTCAAGTCAACTATTTTGCTTCTTAAAATTTCCGCAGAAATGTTTGGTCGATGAATATTGCCCAACCTGCTGCAGTAATGAAAAAAGTAGTAAGTGAGGAGATGAGGTACTGGATAGTTTGAGAGCCTTTATCCGCGACGATGGAGATAGCCGAAATGGCAACGTCTTGTTCGGCGAAGAACTTGTCGAACGACGGATCTTTGAAGGGCCGACATTCCATTTGGCTACTGCTCCAAGTTTCCTGTGGTGTTATCAATGATTTTGGTCATGGGTTACGGACTTCGGCAGACGATGCAGTGGAGGAATCACACGGATATATTCATTAAAACTTTCAGGTTAAAAGGTCCTGAGGGCTGTTAAAAGCGACGCACCAGGGCATCCCTGTCTTTCAGAGTAAACTTCTGGTAAAATTCGTCTCGTCTACGAGAAGCTCTCATTTGGATCTGCAAGCAGTAACCACCGTTAAGTGAGGTCTATTGTTGAGTTCACAGGCCATGTCAATCGTTGATGTGCATATTTTGAAAGACAAAGCGAAGTTCGTGGTTGGCTTTTGTTATCTCGTGTTTATTCCAATTCATGACTCGTGAAAGCATCTCCTTCCGTCGTAGTTAGTGCTCATCGTTTATCCGGCAGGTTTCTCTTACAGGGGGCCTAGAAGCTTTGACACACTCTCGGTCAACTTCGATGTCACTGCCCAGATTTTTCCAAACCCTTGGTCCCTCTAGCTCTTCCTTTATTGCGATAGCCTCTGCAATATCCTTCTCCCAGAAGAAAACAACTGCAATCAGCAGCGCAAAGCTTTTGACTATCATTTGCAGGAGCATGTAGTAGAAGCTCAAGCAGGCAACTTAAACATAAACAACTGGTAGAAAGTGAGATGCTGCCAAATTTAGACTGTTTTGAGGGCCTTGACACGAACCGCAAGCAACTTTTCTCTTGAATCATAAGTTGCGTAGATTTCGAAATTGTCATTGTTCAGATATCTATCATCGGTGATATAGCGAAAGGTGAAATTTGGCTCCCAATAATTCTGCAAGCATCGACCTTCGTCAGTCTCAAGCTTCCACCACAATGGATCGCATGGAATAATCAGAGTGTAGGAAACTACAAGCGGCACAAACGTGTGTAACCACACTAAAGAAGCGTGTCGCTCATAGGCAAACAGGCTAAAAGTCCTGTAGGTACACTGCGCCTTCAGTAATGACATGTCACGCAATCATTCAGATGATGAATTCTTGATTGGTAATTTCACTTTTACGAGGTACAAATCAAAGAGAAAGCAGTATGAGACCCACCTACTGTCTAAATTCTACATTTTCCATTCAGACCAGACTCCATTCAGCAAGATTCAGGACAAATGGCTGTAGGCAAGAAATTTAGGTATTGTGGACAGTCAGTGGGCCCTGTACTCTTCAAAACATAGGCGCAGACTTGCATGACAGTAACTACAGTTTTTCAGTCAGCTTTCATATTTGAAACCTTGCTTTCAAGATGATTTCTTGCTCCAGTACTATTATATTCACAGCAATTAATAACTTTCTTTCTCGCGCCATGTGTGACAGTAAAACCATAGAATGAATGAAGAGACGAATAATTGCCAAAATAGATTCTCAAAACGAAATTGTACCTGCAATTGACCCTTCAGAGGACGGAATTCCGAAGCAGCACCTCGATGTTTTATGTCATCGAAGACCTTTTGAGCAGAGACTGAATGTAGACTTTCATGTTTTGCATCGTCTTTATCTAGTCCAATAGAAAGAGCTGTTTCAGACGAGAGAAACAGAGAAAATACTCCCGGTGGATGCTTGGCTGGCTCCTTAACAATCTCTGGTGGCGGAGTTGGTGGAGGTGTTGGACCCTTCTTCTTGCCTATTGAGGACACAGATGGTATAGGTATATCCAAAGCACTCAAACTCAAGTCCCGGGTCATCGTTGGAGTTCCTCCCTCGCCTACTGGAGTTTCAGCGGCCGCGGCCGCGGCAGGGGCAGGGGCAGGGGCAGGGGCAGCATCTGTCGAAGGTGCTGGTGCGGCATCTGAAACAGAAGTAGGAGTTGCTGATGCATCTGCAACAGCTTCAGGAGAGGGTGGTTGTGTCTCTGCTGCTGCTTCAGGAGGAGGAGGAGGAGGAGGAGCCGAGGGCTTTTCAGCAGGAGAGGATGCATCCTCCGATGCTATTGAAGCCATCTGGGCTATTCACAGATTGACAGACTTCCCTACTGCTGGATAATCTGGCAAGCAGCTTCAGTCCGCCCGTTACAAAACTCAAGTTGAAAGGAGAACATCATTCCAACAAGCAGCCATTTCCGTCGTTTTATCTTATTCCGTCCTGCGATGTCTTCGTGCACACTTAACAAAACGTGGTAAAACCCAATTCTCTGCGCCGTCATTCCATTCTCGCTGATGACAAGAGTCGAATTTGTCCAATTTCAAGCACATCCGACAACAAAAATATGAGGGCAGCTTGCGAGTCCCGCCAGTAATTTGCCTACACAAACGTTTTTATGCCATCTCTCAAATTTTTTTCCAAAAAGAAACCTTCGATCGTCCAAAAATTTCAAGACCAGCGCGAGTCTGGTCCTCCCTTCACAGAAAGACTCATCTTCCAGATCTCGCTAAAATTCTCCAAACTCAATATCTTTGCTTCACACTCATCCTTCGTGATCGCCCATCGAAACATTACTCCCCGATCAATTCCTTCGCCTGTTTCTATCAACCACCGAAGAAGTCGATCGCCAAACTCTGCAAAATCATTCCCTTCGCTGAGAAGGACTTCCTCCCACGATTCGCAACGGCTTGGGCGGGACACGGGTAGGGTTGGAGGCACAGCCAAAAAGGCATGCCCCCGGGCGAGGGCATGGGGGCATGCCCAGGGGCATGCCTCATTTTCATTTTGTGTATGGGGCATGCCCGTATGTATATACGTATTAATCATACTGTAACTTCGGAATATTCGTATATGCGTCGTTTTTTTTCTTCTATCCAGGTGCCAAACTTTTTATGAATTTACGTCCCAGGTATTAAATCTGGTCTGGAAACAGCACTCAGACTCTGGTGTAGGGATATAGCGGACGTGGAAAACTCTTTAGTGTAATGGTTTAGTAGTTAGAATGTGATGTAGTTGTATAGTGCATGTGGAGATCATCTCACAGTATATTGTGCTGTGTTCTATAAATTATAAAGCATTGTTCAGTATACACTAATTACAACTAATTGTATATTAATTATATTTTAATTATAGTTACTTATTATAATTATACTCATGTATTGTACTTATTTTTATGTATACTTTGTATATACAGTATATATACGTATTGTGATACGGGCATGCCTGGGGGCACGGGGCATGCCTTTTGATCTGGAAATGGGGCACGGGCATGCCTGGAAAAATTTTATCGTGCCTCCAACCCTAGACACGGGGCTCCTCCGGAACAGAACAGAGCGATGGGTACCTCGCTCTGTGGGCAATTCTAGCCAGAGTACACAAGCTGCATTAGCTACAAACAGCCGCTAACTTAGCGGTGGCCAAGGATTCGTTTCTCCGGGATGGGCTGACTCAACCGGCGTGGTTTAGCGGAGGCCGTCTTTGGAGTTGAACCAAGTGAGGACAGAGGGTACAGACCAGTGCTGTTCCGTACTTTAGCCGGAGCCAAGGAGGGCATCCAGGCTCCGCTCCAACTGGCGATTCACTAGATAGCGAAGGTTTAGGGTTTACATGCGAGCAAGCAAGCAGGCAATCGCGACTGAAGAGGAAGTGGAAGCTTGACGGGTCATGGAATGTAGCATCGACTTCTTCGTGACGCATGGTTGGTCCCCGCGAGCGAGCTTACGAGATTGATATAGCCAGAGCGAGAGTGTCAGAAATTAGGCGTTTTCCGGCATGAGCGCTCCGAAGGACTCAAATGTGCACTCTCTGGGCACATGATCGCGCACGGAGTGCAAGATGATTCCGCAGTTTTTTGAGTGAGTAGTGGTGTGCATCGACTGCGTTCGTATTTTGCTTTGTCTTGCTTATTCTCCATTGGGTTTATCTCGAGAGCGCTGTATTATTGATTTTAGAAGAGGAGGAGCTTCGAGGGAAATTTGCGTCGTCTTCGCGCCGTCTTCAATTTTGGACTCTCAGGGCTTGGTTTTGGGTTCAAATTGTTAATTTGGGGTTTGTTTCGCTCGTGCTTTGGTCGAGGTGTGCTGGTTTTGAATTTTTTGCGGATCCAGGTGTTGTTTGTACACTGGAACGCATTTTCTTATTCGCGAGTGGAGGTGGATTGTGATTGGCCTTGGTATGTGATTTGCAAATCAGGTAGCTGCTGAAGAATGTCAGCCAAGGTGGCTAAAATGGCGCACACTGACAGTGCGAACGCCAGAGATGGTCGAGATGGCACAGATAAGTCGTCCAAGAAGGCAAAGACTGTGCACGCGGACAATCACGATGGCAGAGATGGTTCTGAGAAGCCCGCCAAGAAAGCGAGATTTTCTCATGACACAGCAACGCAGGTAATGTTTCATTTTTTTGCATTTTAAAGCGCAAATTTCTGACATCAGCCCCTCAGATTAATGGCTTTTGACGGGGTCCTCCTGTTGTACGAGCTGAGATCCTATCAACGTTTAGTAATTGTCGGCGTCGTCAGACATGTGGGATGATTATAATGTCAATGGATGGTCAGAAAAGCAAATTGATTCCTGAAATCACTTTGATTTCTGGTGGCAGGCTCCTACTGAAACAACTGGTAGCACCGCTGCTGCCACCACTATGGTACAATCGGCCCCATCTGAGAGAGCTCCAGTAAATGCGTCAAAAGATGCAGCATCAAAGTTACAGACTAATTCAACTGGAGCAAACGATGTGCTTGCTAAAGCTCAAGGTCTTTTACAGCGAACGAAGGATCTTCAAGAAAGAATGAAAAAATTACCCGTGAGTTCAAATCTATCTATGGCATTTTCCTTGCTTTTATATGAGTTTCTTTCCAGCTGCAATTTTGAAATCAATACATGTGAGTTTTTAGTAGAGATGTGCTTGTATAATATCTCGTACATTGCTTGCACTCTTCCACCTTTCACATTTCACTCCGCAATCTGTCGTGCTAGATTAAAGCTGTCAAAAGCGGCACTTCTGCGGCCACTTCTGCTCCACCCATTGCTCCAACGCCTGCTGTGTCTCAAGTATCAACCGTACCATCTCCGATTTTGCCAATAGCTGGAGGTATCACCCCCAACTTAGGTGGCTCCTTCAACTTATATGGGATGCAACCTGGTCTTCAAGGTCTCTTGCCCCAAGGTTTTGGTGGCATAGCAAATTATGAAGCGGTGAAAAGAGCACAAGAGATGCAGCTCGGTGGCATATCAAACTACGAAGCAGTGAAAAGAGCACAAGAACTGGCTTCGCGATGGGGTTTTCAACAGGGTCCTTTGCCAATTTTGTCCATGGTTGCACCTCCAACTGCCGAGGAAATTGCAGCTGCCGCACAGGCAAAAACTGTGAAAGCACCAGTGTTGCGTTTGGACGCGCATGGCAGAGAAGTTGACGAGAATGGAAATGTTGTTGACAGACCGAAAATTACAAGCATCAGCACTTTGAAGGTCATCTTTCTCAACTTTTGTGTTGGCTCCGATGAAATCATCTCTTTGGTTCGCGCATTAAATACTAACTGTCCTTAGTGTCATCGCACAGGTTAACATCAACAAGCAAAAGAAAGAAGCTTTTAAGATTCTCCGGCCCGAGTTGGAAGAGGATCCTGTTGACAATCCGTATTATGATGAACGAGTGGGAATTGATAAGAAGAAACTTGTAAGGGCCAAACGGTCAGCTTTTCAGTTCGTGGAAGAGGGCAAATGGTCCAAGCAAGCCGAAATGTTAAGACTGAAGGTAAGAATGTCACCTTTGAATTCAGTAACTCGCACATGTAACTTGTCTTGGTGTTTCTCTTGCTCTCGAACTGGAGAGTGAAGTATTTCTCCAGCGCTCCCTTGGCTTTACTTTGTTTCTAGTCGAAAATAACACCAGTTGTTTGCTTTCTCTGTTGAAGAAAATATTACGTCGTATATTTTCTGGCGTAATTGTACTATCTATAGTGCAACTGATGATCCCTGACTGTTTCAGTATGTTTGGACCAGAGTCAATTTGGGGATGCCAAAGCCAAGGAGATCAAAATGAAGCAAGCGCAGCTTTCGAAGGCTAAATCTGAAGCAGATATCAACCCAAATCTTATCGAAGTGACTGAAAGAGTCCCTGTTAAGGAAGAAAAAGTGAAGGATTTTATACCTGACGTTGAATGGTGGTATGTTCAAATCCTCCTGTGTTATCATTTCGGTATTTTTCGCAGATCCTAACGATCGAGTACTTCGTGGGATATTTCGGATTTATTAGGTGATTTCTTTGACTGTCATCCATGTCATATGTTCATCATACTTTTATAAGACATAACAGCAAATGGACGGGCAAATTTTCATTCAAATGGAAGAGGATTGGCTTTGAATAGTTTCACCCGCTTGTGTCAGTGCACAATGCTTGACAACCACTCCTTAAAGGTCCGCTGTCAAGTATCGTCCTATGTTTTATTACGAAACTGTGGTAGTAGTAAGTGGCTCTTTTCGAGTCAAGGGTACCACTCAACGTTGTGACCATCACATTTCACTCTGTTATGTGTACAGGGATGCTTACTTGCTACCCTCTGGGAGCTACGATGACGTGATGGGTGAGAAGTTTCATGTGAATGAAAAGAAGATTTCTATCTATGTTGAGCATCCTGTGCCGATTGAGCCTCCCGCAGAACCAGCACCTCCTGCTCCCCAGCCCGGAAAAATAACCAAGAAAGAACAGAAAAAGCTTCGTACCCAACGACGGTTGGCCAAAGAGAAGGATCGTCAAGAAATGATAAGGCAGGGTCTATTGGAACCCCCAAAAGCCAAGGTCAAGATGAGTAACTTGATGAAGGTTCTAGGAGCCGAAGCCACCCAGGATCCTACCAGGCTGGAGCAGGAAATAAGAAGTGCTGCTGCGGAGAGAGAACAGGCTCATACCGATCGAAATCTTGCCCGAAAGTTAACACCTGCAGAAAGGCGGGAGAAAAAGGAGAAGAAGCTTTTCGATGACCCAAACATAATCGAGACTATTGTCTCAGTTTATCGTGTAAATGATTTGTCACACCCACAGACAAGGTTCAAGGTGGATATGAACGCCCAGGAAAATCGTCTCACAGGGTGTGTGGTAATGTCTGATACCATGACAGTTGTTGTAGTGGAAGGCGGCAGCAAGTCTATCAAGCGTTATTCTAAACTGATGTTGAGGCGCATTAAATGGGAGACAGCCGTGAAGGAAGATGATGACAATAGACCTGAGGGGCTGCAGGGCGTGAATAAATGTGTTCTGGTTTGGCAAGGCAGCGTAGCCAAACCCAACTTTGACAGGTTTCTCATACAGCAATGTCGGTCAGAAGCAGCTGCAAGGAAATATTTCGCCGATGCCGGCGTTGGTCACTACTGGGATCTCGCAGTTAATTTTCCAGAGGATTGAGTCGTTGACGGACATGGTGGCTGTTGTAGGCGGGTAAAGTGGATGTTGTGGTTGTTGCAGTGGTCTTTGCCATCCCACACTTGAAGAGCTTGTGTATAATATTTTCTCTGCGACAGGATCTTCTGGAGGCTGCTACATATTTGCAGTTCTTTACCTCACTCTTATACCACCTACGTGTTCGCTACATCCTTCGTAGACCTTACGAGGTACGAGTGATCTGTGTGCGACCATCAATATGTGATTTGTCCCTTATTGCAGGCAAATTTTGACTAGGGAGGAAGGGCAGTTTTCAATGGCAGAGAATTAATAGACTTTGTTTCAATCCAGTTCCTCAAAGTTTTTTATTCATGGATCGACTTTGTTGTATTTTGCTCGCACCCAGGATGACTCAAGTCGGTTTTGATGGATGGAGAATAGATCGAGACTGGTAGTTTGGTGCGCATGCTGAACATTTATGCGAACCACACGAGTAATTTACTCGAAAGTCCGTTTGGCAGTTTTTTATACCTCTCCGCCAACTGCCTAAACTGAGAGTAGGGGGACCTTGTAAAACTCTCCTTTCTAAGCTGAAAGTGCGTGAGTTGAGCCCGCAGATGTTGATTATTGGGTGCAAATAGAGTACTGCATTTTAAATGACCTGAAGATAAATGGTATGCTGCCTATACAAGTGAATTACAGTAGGACCTCTTGATGGATGAAGGTGAGTGACAGCTGACGGTCGTTCATAGTTATCGATCGATCGATGTGTCGATCAATAACTGCAAAATCAATTAGTGTGTCGGTGACGCCTATTCTCTTCGGTTTCAGCCCCGTTGCCATATATATTACACGCTCACTAAAATATTCTCATTCGAACTCAAATTGCCTCAAAAGCTCTTCACTCGTACAAACTTAATTTGCCAAATAAAGAAAGTTACATTTCAACATCAAATTTCATCTCTCAGGGAGTCAAATAGGACGTTTTGAGAACAATGAGATGTAGTGATTGAACTTGTGAATGGAATGAATTGTGCGGAGGAGGCAAGTGAAAGGCAGTGCGTACCGACTGTGATAGAATTAATATCACTGAGGACAGCGGGAGCTCTAAATAAAGCAATGTTCGTCGTTGGGTGACGTTCCGACTTAGTGCTGTCGAGCAGCTATATCGTCTTGCTTGCATAACAGTTTCCACCAAAGATATTTTCATGAAAAGAATTAATCAATAGTGAGACATAATTTTTTTGTGATATTAGATTGTAACTAGTAGATATCTTAAATAATAACATTGCATCATTAAAGTACAATAGTGTTTTTTCAATTTCAATAGAATTTAATCAATAGTGAGACATATTTTTTTTTGACATTAGATTATAACTAGTAAATATCTTTATTAGTTATATGAAATATGAATGGCATATTTCTTTTAGCTACATTAGATTGGAACTAGTAAATATTTTCGTTAACAACATTGTATCATTAAATGACAATAGTGATATAAAATTACAAAAGAATATATTTGAAGCGATATTATCTTATTGATAGTATCTTTTAATTGCTAAATTTTGTTATCGCCATAGTATACTTAATAAATTTTCGTAATTTATTATCTGATAAATTTAATCAAATTTGTAAGTTCATATTGTATGTGTAAAATAAAATTAAAAATTATTAAAGAATGATTAATTTAATTATATTTAAATCTAATTAATTATCATTATGTTTAATTATAATATTTATATTTGATTGAATAAATAGAGAAGTTTTATAAGATTTGAAAAAAATATTTATATTATATTTTGTATAAAATCTAAAAAAAATTGATTTCATGTTTAATTTTGATTGATCTAATTAAGTGATGTAGATTGCATTAGTTAGACTAAATCTAATGTTGATTTAGTGCTAAGTGTAAGTTTTAGAAATTGGAAAGTTATCAATGACATGTCTCCACCGCAATCTAATAATTAGTAAAAATTAATAAATATTTAGATAATTTAAAATTACTATGGCATGTTACCACGTATTGATAACTAATCAAACTTACTATGATTTATCTTTGTAAAAATGAGTTAAATAAATATTTCAATTTGTTATTATGATAAATTCTCAAATAATATATAATAAAAAGTAATAAAAAAATTCGCAAAAAAAATTGGAGAGTTTATGTATATAGAATTGTTTCATATATGAAAAAATGACGATTTTTAATATCTTGAAGTGTTGATGTGTTAGTGAATTCAAGTGATAAATTGACGGAATGTGTGAAAGTGTGTTTGGAACATGACTATGAGAGATATTCCTAGTCTTCTAAAATCATGATGAACTATCTCAAAGTCATGTGAGGTAAACTTGAGTAAGAGTCAGCTTGGAGGTTGCAGGTAGCACAACTTTGGTAAACTAATATACCCTACATACGAACTATTTAATCTCAGGCAAAGTAGCTTCAAATCTTCTCCACCATTTGACAAGTTTTGATAGCCCTAATCTTGTACCTCAAATTCTGCAGATTTCTCATGATGTGATACTCTTTATCTGCCTATTGCATCCAGAAGATTTTGAGCGCCTAAATCATCCGTTGTGTCTCAACAGCCGAAATCAGAGGAAGCGTCTCACTATCGTCTTTGTCCACAATTGCATTGTCAGACTCCGTGGGAAGCTGATCTTGAATGAACTCGTCCAAGTCCTGCAGGTATGTAACCACCATCTCATCTGAAAAGTTGAGAAGATTCCGATTTTTCAAAGTGTACATGGCCTCGCCGAAGCTGTAGGGTGTCTTCCATTGGGTTTCTTTAACGAAATTGTCAGGGATGTGACTTCAGATCTTTGATGACCCCCTAATACACAAGATATTCTTTAGCAACAAGGTTTTCTGTAGCAAAGTACTCCTCTTGAGTGATTGGCAATTGGTGATTCTCCCCTAGAACGAGGTCCACACTCCGGATCATTCATTGTCTGAAGTAGTTGGCAATTGTTATGGATTTGACGTCATTCCTCCATGCTAGAATTACGAGTCTGATGGCTTGCAAGATGTCCAACTTGTCAAACAGACACCTTGTCTATCAATTGTTGCTAGAGAAGGCGATTTAAGGACCGCCAATAGTTGAACTTTAGATTTTGGATGATTCCAGCATCGCAAGGCTGCAACTTTGACGTAGTGTTTGATGGAAGGTAGAAGACTGTTGTGTTTCGCAGATGAATGCGATCTAGGGAGTTCAGTCAAAGGAACGTGGACACTGCAATTATTCATGATAAGAAGAACTTTTTTGTTAGCCATTCGTAGATCAAATGACTTTGATCATTCAAGAAATACAATATGTGTCATCCAAGCCTTTGCATTGCTACGGTAGTGCAATCCAAGTTGTTGAGATCGATGTTCTTGAAGCAGCTTGAACTCTTGCATTTTCCAATGATTCACAATGGAAGCTTGTCGAAACAATTGTCGTTGCAACAAACGGCGAGCGTGAAGCGCTCCTTGTGTTGTTTTCGATCTTTTCTTCTCTTGATCGCAAGGAAGTGATAGGTTTTATAACATAAGCTCTAATTATACTGTAGTATTTCTTTGAGAAAATAATTGCACAAGAGTTCAAAACCCACATGCATACTATAGAAGAGTCTCATCTCATGCATGTTGTAGATGTCTGCAAGCTTGTAGTTGTCTAGGACCTCCTAAATCTTTGGACTTTCATCTTCAATAAGCTTCATGTTCACAGATCCTTTCTCTCCAAAGAACGAATCTTGTGATTTGTCTTGAACGACTTGAGCCAGCCGTTAGAAAATTCAAAGACTACATGCCCAAGATACAGAAGGTCCATGATCTTCTTTGTGCTCTTTTTTAGCAGATCGTTGCTCATGTTGACGCGATACTCATTCGGTTGGAATCACTCTGCTAAAGCTTCCTTAATCTGAGGGTACTTTATTGTGCACTAGCGTTTCTGGCTAAAGTTGATGTTGTGTGCCATTTGAAGCAGCTCAGCAGAGTGGTTGAGGTTGCGTGAAGTAGTTGACTGGACAATCTTCGCGTTGTGTTCTTCCTCAAGCCATGTCGCAGGTTCTTTCTGCATGACTTTATGGTTGATTTTTTTGTAGCGGCATAGAGCAATGCGGAACTCATCCATCATTGTTGTGTACTAAACACCACGCTGCGGTATCTTCTGCATGTGTTGTGATGGTGATGATAGTGTTGATTGTGCGGATGTCTGTGTGTTTGGTTCTGGGTTGTGTTTCTTGTATATGTTGCTGTGGTTGGTTTTAGGATTCAATTGTTGTGTCTGATTGTTGTTCTGGTTTGTTTACCGCCTTTTCACTCCTCCTCACGAATCAATCTCATGACGTCATTTGCAATAGCCAAAACGTATGAATGTTGCGCAGTTGTTGCAGAAATGACTTTCTTGATAATCTCTATTAACTGACAAAAACCTCAAGTCCCAAAGATAAAAGTTTAGACAAATTCTATTGTATACAATAATTAAAATGTAATATGGAGATACAACTCGTATCATAATGCAAATTCATGAACAACTATCATGTGACATGTGTTAATTTAATTATATATTTCAACATTTCATATCTTGCTACAATTGATATCATCTATTGTCTCACTTAAATTTTTGGATATATATTCTGACTCAAACGCGATATTAACGTAAATTATAATAATAATACAAAATAATGAATGAAATAGATCTTCCAACAAAACAGAAAATTTACATATTGTTTTAATCTTAACGAATATTCCACCAAATAATATTAAATTTTACCCAATAATATAAAATTTTAATTTTGTGAATGATCCATGCCAATAGTGACTTTCAACTAGCACCAATGTATATCACTATTGGAAAACTAAACTCTATCTGACTCTTGTACTTTTTACACTAGAGTTCTTCTCAACACATCATTCACATCTAGTTATCCTTATTCCAGGTGCCATTCATTCCTTGGCACATCAGTGCCATCATCACAACAAACTTGAACTAATAAACGATTTGTCGTGAGATTTATTAATCTGCTTTACTGCATCATTAAAACCAAAATGCGGATAGTCACTTCGTAAATAATCTCAGCCAACAGTGCATGTCTTTAATGTCTTTCAAGCGTGCGCATTGCCTATATATAAATCATTTGCCATAAAAGTATCTGCTAGTTGTGTGTTTCATAATTTATTGATAACCACCGTGGAATTCTCAAAGAGAAGTAAATTCACTTGGAACAATTACAAAGTTTAGGTGAAAATTTTCTGAAAAGAGTGAGAGAGCTGAAGAATAACAATATAGGTTTACCAAGTACACAAGGAATTGTGATGGTTTGTAAACGAGTAGCACATCGTTAAATCTTAAGAGGAAAGGCGCGAATGCAAGCTTGTGTAATTTCTGCTTGTGGAGGTGGAAAGGAAACAAGGTCAGATTGGAAGCATGATCTAATAGCGTACTTGAGGGGGATAGAAGAGAACAATTAGCTCTTAGATCAGTAATTAAGCTTTTTTGTAGAAGATGAGGTTATGGAAAACACCATATTTTGGTAATGATCGCTACTTGTTACTTGTTTTGGCATATATGGTGCAAGATGATGATGAAAGATCTCATGTCATTTCTAAAAGTGTAATACTGTCTAGAGGAGTTATATATACATTTTTTTTCTTTCAAAAAAACAACATAATCAAAGAGAAAAAAAGAGTTTCCAATCCAACCAACTTTCCTAGACTAAAAATGCATACTACGAAGAAAATTAAAATACCACTTCGAAGACACCAAGTAATCCTGTAACAATGGTTTTGTTAGAGCATCAAAAACTAAGATAAAGCTTTTGTGGCCAGCAACTTTTCTTGACGCTACAATTGGCGCAAAAGCTGAAATATGAGGTTGTGTAATTGATCATGGAGTTAAAAAGATGACATTGACAATATTCCAATTACAGGTAGAAAGTGAATGTCTCTTTTGCAAATATCTGGAGGATTCAACGGCAATATATACGAACAATTCTGAATGTCGTTATATCGTCCACTAAAGAATATGAAGATTTTATCATTGCACACGGACCGAGCAGGCTTTCTTGGATTAGTGACAATATTACTTCCATGCGTTCCAAGAACTATCCGATTTGAGGCATGTTTAAGAGTTACGAGAGCAAAAAACTACTGAAGACGCTAATTTTGAGATTATAGAGGAAAGTAAAGAACATAAAAGCTTATGTGAGGAGGAAGTAAGGAGTCATGAAGAAGAGGATTGAGAGAAGAGCAGTTGAGGTTGAAGTTATACAGGAATGAAAAAGCACTAGAGTATTGGACCTTGAGGTTGTTGAGGTGAAGGTACTGGAACAACTTAGAGCTAAAGTTGACAATTTATTACTGTTTATTAGATTTATCACTCAGATTTTTAACTTATGGTTCTGCAAACTTGATGTTTAGAAGAGGAGTGATGAAGATGAAATTGATTTGTATGCTTGCCCCAAGTTCATCATTCTTTCTAGCCCAACTATGACAAACTGTTTGTAAACTACAACCATGACATTTACAAACTTCAACTCAAATTGTTCAATCATTGTCCTACATGGTTTCTAGATTAAGAGCTAGAAGAAGATAAACAGCACATACCATTTCTAGTCTAATACTGTACTCATCACTTGAAGTTAACTCTTTCTAGATGTTGTGGTCTTCCATTATGTACGACTTTGGTTGGAACATATTATCCGAATTATTAAAATTGAGCAGTACACTTCGTTGTAATCACTCACCAAGCATCCTTATGTGGAATTCGTTTGGAAGAGGTGGCATACTTTTTTTTTAAGTTTATCTCGAAGACTTGAAAAGCAAAAAAAAAACAAGTAGAAAGAGTTCAAGGTTTAAAATTGTGAGAATTTATCCTGAAGAGACTGAGGATTTGGATCTGGTTTCTCATCCATCACAATTTTCAGGTTATGAAGATATTGTACTCGTATATAAAGTGATCAAAGATGTATATTTTTAGTTATTCTTCTGCTCGTTGAATGTAGTGTGAACATAACTTTTATCCATATTTTTTTTCATATTGTGAACAGTAGGGCAAATAGAATATTTTCAGATTCCAACTCATTGTGTAAAGTGGAGGATAGAATGCACGGTGTGCAATTCCTCTTGTGGCTTCGTGGTGCAATTTCTCTTGTGATTTGTGAACGAGATTGCATTGCAGTTGCTTTAGGCGGAATGTGATAAGGAGCGATGGATATCAAATCGAGATCGCTATGTGATGTTCTGTGTATTGTGTTATGTTGTTTTCAGGTTAGAAAATCGTTGCTAGCTGGTTGATTGTGTTTGATTGCTCCCCAATTTTGCTCTGTATTGTCTAGGGAAAAAGAATGGCTCAAGAAAGTGCGAGACCTATGTCCGCTAGCGACGAATGTAAATATTGTGACTTTATGTAAATAGTATGAATGATGCTAATGATATATTTGACTTCACCTATTCTCTTGTGTATACTTTTCACTACTTGTATATGTTTAGCTCAAGAATTGATATCGGAGAGCTCTCGATTCTAGGTGCTGTCACTTTGTCATTGCCTTTTGCAACTCTGTTATTTTGGTCTAAGAATTTTAGCCTTTCAGAGTCGTAGCATCGGGTATTGGTTGCAAGGGTTGACGCGTGTAGTCAAGATTTAAGTAGCGAGATTGGAAGTCAATTGAAGATAAAATTTCATTTTTGAAATTTTATCCAGATTCTGATTTATTTTATTAGAGTGGCCGTAATACGGAGAGTGCTTCGATACGAAAACACGTGACGTTTGTATATTCTCTTCTCACTTATACTGATGTAAGTGACTGAGGAACAAATCTAAGTGGTACATGGTGATTACGCGTACTCTCACAGTATTCCCTACGAAGACAGATCAGCAAAGGAGTTATTTATATGCAGTTATGTCATTATACATTATACGAAGATGCAAGGTACCCGTTTCAGTTAGAGCTGGATACTGGAAAGTCTGCGTCAACGAAGTTTCACAATACTCAAGCCAGATGTAAGTTCTTCACGCTAGGTCTGCGATTATACCTCCGCCGGAAGGAGGGGTCCAACCTCCTATATTGTGGTTCTGGGCTACATTATTTAACCAAGTGAGCTATTGCAGCAAATGACTCTGATTCCAGCCCTTGACTCCCCGCTTATTTCTTTTCACTGGAACATATTTACCTACGGGTTTTGAAACGTCTCAAGAGCAACGCGGATCTGCAGTTCCGTCCGTGTCTTTATAACGTACCCGCTGTCTCCGATAAAGAATCATCTCTACGAATCACATTTTGTCCTTGCATTTTGCACTAATTGATTGGCAACAAATAAAAGGCTGCTCGACCTGCAGGAAAGCAGGTTTTCGTGTGTAAGTCCACCTCTTTCGATATACAAAGAAAGTTTCGTTCTTCTGCTCAGTGCCGTCTAGGGGTGTTCCAGCTACTTGGCACCAGTCCCAACAACTCGATCTTTTCTTCATACAGCATCAAACACTTCGAGATCATTTTACCGCAACAAAAAGTTACTTAAGCATTGTGAATCTAGGTCGCCATCTACTTCTGGCGACGTAAATGCTACATAAAACTTGCGTAAATAAAAACCTTTAACAGAGTCGAAATCACTTGCATGCGGCCATCTATCTGCATTTCCCGCACAAACCATACGAAAAGAGGATACTCCTTGGAGCTTAACGCGTCATTAAAACATCATAATGTTTTAATGCTCAATCTGTATAGTTTATTAGAGCTGTGATTAAAAACATTCACAAGGGAATATCGTCTCTGAAGTAGTCAGTCTCTAGATGGAAACGATTGGAAATACTGTGTTCTATGGTCATCACCAAAAACTCTGCCAATTACACCCTGCTCCGACAGATTTAGTCTCTGACAGTCAAAAGCATGTTATGTGAAAATTGGGCATATGCTTTAACAAGTGTTTGAAATAGTGCTTCCACGATTAAGACTCTTCATGAGTCATTGTCAATATTGTAATTAGCCAAGACCCTACAAAGATAACGATTAACCAGGAAAATGCTGGACCCAGGACCAGGCCACCAGAGTGGTGGTTCAAGAGACAAATCCGACGGAACTACAATGGAAAACCCTCGATACAAATGTTTTTATTTGACGAGAATTTTCGAGATATCTGGTGATTTAGACTGATTTGAATATTCGAACTACCCTACATTAGATCTGCACCAAAGTTATTTGCTTTCGTGAACAATAAATTACGTTCACGTTCAGCTCGGTCTTGAAAAAAAAAGTTCTATACAGAGCTTGCTCTCGCAAGCCCTAAGGGTCTCCAGTCATCGGAAAGATGCAACCTTCACCTATGAACTCTCTTTTTCTTGCATTTCCTTCAACATCTGCCTCTTCAAGTAAGCAGCATGTCTCTCAAGCTTCATTTGTTCTGTCTGTACAAACATTCAAGCACACATCAGAACCAACCTGGAAATCAGGGACGAACGTATCTACAGTATGACTATGACTCCTGTGGAGTCCTGGTGAGAGTTCTAATGCAGGTTTTGGCCGACGAACTTCTGCGGATTGTTCAAATTTGGCAAACATAGCTTACTTCCAAAGCACCTTTTATAGTACAGGAGAGAGCCTAAGACTCAAGCCAAGGTTCCCGCCATTTCCTCATATACAGAAGAAAAATGGAAACAATTGATTGGATAAACAGATGTATGTCAGATGAGATCAAGACCATAATGTTGAGAGTTGGGGCCACATACTGGTACTAGTAATTCCTTAGGCAATAGAGTGAAAAGGAGGAACAGATAAGAAAGCAATATGAACCATTGATTAATAAAGAAGTTCGGAATGCTTTCACAACAAAGGAACATGTAACTTCATCTGCAATTGCATCCCACCCAAATTGAGTACGTCAAACAGCAACCAAAATCAAATTCAATCCGACTCACTTCCTGCCACAATTTTGAAGTGTCGTGCTTATGAGTTACAAGCAGAAAATGCAAGTCTTAGTTTTCAGCTGATATGTTGTGTGCATGTGCATCACACCTAAGTTTACGCAGCAAGTTCATCGTCACGTCCTCGGGTGGTGTAAATGGAAGTTCTGTGCCAACTTGTAGATTATAGGTATCCAACATTTTGATTCAGATTGAAAACAAAAGCGAGAACTACATATTTTCTATGGTCAGGTTACAACAGACAATGGCGCCAGGAAGTTTGAAATGGAAGCGCTTATTGAGGATGTAGAAATAAATATGAAAACAAAATCAGGTTCACATCACACATTGTGCATGTTCATGATTTAGCAACTGAACTGCTTACAGTTGATCGTTCTTTCGGTGTGCTTGAATATTATGATTGCTGTACATCATTATAATTATCCGATAAAATTGGAACGATACAGAGAAGATTAGCATGGCCCCTGCGCAAGGATGACACGCACAAATTGAGATAATGCTTGAACAAAGATGGATGGTCAGCAGCTTCTATTCAGCTAAATAATTGCCCATAAACATCAGTCTTCCGACTAAGACCATTTCAGCGATTGAAATAACAGGTTCTTTTCAATTCCCTTATACACGACTTTGATACATTAAGTTACAATCGTCATTTTGCACTTTTACGTGGGTAATCGTTGATCTTCGCGAAACTACAAAAACCATCATTGGACGAAGAAAACCCTGAAGAATGACGCGCAAAATTCGCTAACTGATTCGAGCACCACTCCTTTCCATACATAGGGCCCTTCAGAAGCTCTCCAAGATAAAACAAAAAACATCCAGCCAATCCTAAGTTGCAATAGCCTGCGAGTCCTGAAACAAGGAACTTGCCACAACAAACGGGTTCCTTCTCGTGACTGTAAATTTCACTTCAGCCTCGCAACCCGATTGAAACGGCGTGCTTTGTCAATTGAAATTCCTCCCAAACGATCCAGAAAGAGGAAGACCCACGCACATCCAAGAGAAAGCTACAATCTGCAACTCCTACCATGCTCTCCTTGTTCTTAAAACCAATCTCGTGTAGAAATCAGCTCCAAAAATCAATGGCAATAGCCGAATCCCGATCGACAGCTCAGACCACGAGCCATCCTCCGATCTGAGGAAGCCTAGGAGGAAGGACGAAGGAGATGCGGAGAAATGATAAGGACATACCTTCGCCTCCCGATTCTCGGCCATCCAGACCACGAGATTGTCGAGCGACTTGACTCCGACAAAGGTGACCGCGACGAGCCCGAGGAACGTGTGAACGCGCACCATTGTACTAAGCTCTTCCTTCTGCCTTCCCTGCCCGACGAACGATAGATAGACAGACAGACAGACAGATGCTCGAAGGGGAGAGCAAAAATCCCTTGTTCCAGAGCATTCACGCGACTCGACTCAACTCAACTCGAAGCGTCGACCCTTCCTGCTAGCCCTTCCGTCAGCCAGTGCCCACAACCTTCACTCCATGGGCCGGGCCTCCCCTCGACCTCCTTCCTTTGTGCTCTATTGCTCCTCTTGCCTTCGTCCGCCCTTCCGTTCGCGACATTGTCTCTCATGAGGCGCGGGGTGCCGCTTCTCGCTCCGACCATCCAGCACCCCACGGACTCCTCCCGACGTGAGTTCACGTGAGCCCGCCACTTCCGCTTCCTGGAGAGGAGCTGCGGATTCTTGCGAACCCGAAGGTTCTCAAAGCGTCAGAACACTCCCGGCGAGAGGGAGGGAGGCAGCCATGTTCATAAGCAGCCTTATCCCTTCCCTAAGAACACCAAGAATCAAATGTTTGGCTTCCTTTCACATGAAACACGAACATTCATGAATTTGTCGACGACAAATTCAACACGCAATTTGAACGAAATAGAAAGTGTTGTGTTTGTATCAAGTTCTCAGTCCCCACACATTCTTCTTTGGCATTGGACATTCTTCACCATGCATTCATAATATGGCCCACGAATGCAACATATGCCACACTTTGTGACAACAAGTCCATACTCTAGGGACTCAGATACTTTTGCCTCGACAAATCACGGTTGCCATGTGATTACCTGTGCCTCGTACTCTCACAGGAGACGAGAGCGGAGTTTGAATTCTGTACATCACAAATGCTGTTCGTTGGATTATGCTCAGTTATTTGAGCTCTTGATAACTCTACGGTTAATAGAACGGAAGTAAGCTGATGGCAGTATCTGCAACTCTCGAGTCGAATGTGACTATGAATTATGGAGACCAACACAGCCGTACTAATTCACGCATATATATTTTTAAATCTGCTTCTTTGTTCCCTCTTCTGAAGATAAGAACTTTCTTCATCTTCATTTAATTTATACAGACAAATCTGAAGATCTACACATATGTCAAACTCAATGCGTGAGCCAAACAAAAGTTGTAATAGAGGGTTTTTGTTTCAATCACAACCAACTCTGCATGCTTATAGATTGCAGTCATAAAGTATGAGAGGGGTCATTGGACATGCTAATGTGTATCAGAAGATTCCTTGTTCTTCATTCATCTCCTTGTCTATATGCTCATTATTTGGTTATTTAGATAATGGTGTAGAAGAAGACACTGTATATTTTACAATATTTTGTATCCAGATAATTTCAAAAAATTACGAATCTTTCTTATATCTTCATGGCTGCATTTCTGGAGATAAGCAGCACATGTAAAATAAGAAATTAATCATTAAATTTTTCATTTTTCACACTAGAAAAGAATAACCTACAACCAAAATAGCTCCAATGATTAGCGTCATTGAAAAATATATAACTTCAATTATGCATGAGATTATGTATTAAAATGATGTATAAAAACAAATTTTAACTCATATAATATAAGTGTGTGACTTTTCAGCACATACAGTTCAAACATGTCTTACACACACCTACACATAGAAGTATACTCTTTAATATCTACTTGGCTACTCTGGAAATTTGTAAATGAGGTACTTATAAGACATAAATGTAAAGAAATATGTTCATGGGTCATTGATAGATTATATTTAGAAAAATATAATCTATCAAAATGAGTCCTGATATATATATATATATATATATATACACATATACACACACCTATGATCATTAACGTTAAAAACAAATCTAAACCTCATTGCTACAACCATCTCCTTCCATTGTGAGTCTCTCTCTCTCACTATCTCTCTCTTTCTTTTAAAGTATTTCATCCCGCTTTTCCAATCCCATCCTTCAAGATATTTGAATCTGGATATAAAAATTTGTCGCGTTTAGAAGCTCATTAGATTGATCATCTCAAAAAAAATTAGGTTTATTAAAGAAAAGTTTAAAAATATATATAATCTGAGGGTTTAGAAATTTGATTTTTTAGAAATTTAGTTTAATCAAAATTATATCAAATTACAATTTCATAGATTTTTTTTCAGTTTTAAAAGATAAAACACAATGTCATGTAATGAATTCAGTATGCACATTTTGCAGAAGATATGACATTTCTTATTTGAAATATTTTAGCATGGATATAATTTTTTTGAATAATAGAAAACGGATAACAATCTTCTGATTTTTTTATGTATAAAATAATGATAAATAATAGAAATATAGATGATAATATTACAGAAGATCAAAGAATCGTAGGGGCAAAATCGAAATAATTTTTAATCATCTATATAATCTTGGAAATGATTTAGTGAATATTTTCTTTTACAATTTACAATAGCAAGTTTCATAGAATCAATTAATTTTCAATTCCAATTTTCTAAATGTTATGATATATTGGATCACTTTTTCTTTATTCGGTAGTTAAAATAATAGTTCATCAGTTACATCGGATGGTGAGAAGAATTTCAAGTCAATTTTATTCAAGAAATAAGTTTTAGTTATTACAATGAATTGATTTTGTATAACACACTCTTGACATTATTGAATCTTGTGCAGGTTTTGAATAACTGCACTGTTTATTTAACATTAAATGAACTCAAATGGTTGTCTAGCGTAATTTTATGATAGTAAAAGAAAGACACTGATAGTTACTGAAGGGTGGATAGAATTTTATTCACAAAATTTAAATGTTTCAAAGAACATATATTTCATAGTCTGAATAAATGGTTTTATATTGCTTTCATCAATCATTATATCTGAACCTCATCTATATAAGAATGAAAGATTTTTTTAGAACATCGTTTAGTTCTTCTGGTCAACATTTTTTGGGAGTTATCAAACAGTTTCTAGCCCACTTTTACCTTGAATGTTGAAAAAAATCCACGTAGATTTATCAATAGGTATACTTTGTATATCGACATACACTCATAACTTTGTGCATGTATTGAAATTAATCCTTCATGCCCTCGAGCTTCTGACTTTGAATTAGACCACTGCAGATACAAGCTTGCAACGTAGGGCTAGATAGTCTGCAATCGACCTAAGAAAAGTGAAGAAACCATCCTTCTGCATTGAAAAGATTTTTTACATAGTACTTGTTCTCGAAAAGCAAAATGTTATGGACTTATGCTTCATGTGTCTCGGGTCGACGTCGAAATGTGCAGGTGGTTAAACTTTCCCGACCCAACGGCAGAGTCCGTAGTACAGATGAGGAAGAATGATGCGCGGTGTCGCCATTGTGTTTTTCCAACAGCTTGAGGCCTTTGCAGCTTTTGCAGAGTTCGCGGAAAAGATTCGCGATCCTGGCCTCTGACAAGCTCTTTCTTCATGGCGAGCGCGGATGTTCCATCAAAAGGCCACCGGAACGGTCCAGAGACTTGCGGCCAACATCGCGACTGCGAGCGAGGAATTACTCACCACGCAGGAACCGGGTAACCGGGAGCAACAAACCAAGCGCGGTAAGATTTGGCCATTTGTGGGGTAGATATTAATATCTGACATTCACGGGGCAGACCGGACAACCAAGAGCTAGAGTCAGGTCAACTAGAGGACGATTCTGCTGCGAACCGGAGCCGGCACCGGCACATCCGAAACGAACTGCGGCTTCGGACCATCCATACCGGCCTTAAACCAGCAGTCCAGAGGGAGGGACGGGAGGGGAGGCCGTTACTGTTACTGTACTGGGTGAGTCCGAGACTCGAGCGGGGACTTGGAAGGAATGAAGGAATGAAGAGGGAAGGGAGGAGCTTTGAAATACGGTACAGTAGAGTATGTTGACCGAAATGAAGGCTTCACGACGCCCGGCCAAAGCGTCGAACGTCAATCGGCCCATGGCGACGCCAGTGGGCCTCCAATGCCGGCGAGGAAGAATCGCACGCAGAGCCCGGCTGGCAGAGTTCACTGTCCAACGAAGGCCATATTGGCGAGGGGCCCCGAAACTAAATTTACCGGGGGGCCGGCGTCGGGAAAGACGCCCGGCCGGCCAGAACAGGGCGCCGGGCGGAGGTGAAGTCGGTTGCTGGGGCGTTGGCGTTTCGGACTTTCGGTTTCGGGACTGTAGCGGGGGATGACACCGCCGGCGGGCGGGCGGGCGGGCGGGAGGAGGAGGGACCGGCGGGGCCAGGCTGCCTGTCCGCCTGGCGGGGCAGTGTGACGAGACGGGAGGCGAGGGGAGGGCAGAGGGAGCGCGCCAACCCCTCTCTCCTCTCTCTCTTCTCTTCCTTCGATCGCTCGCAGTCCTGCCTGCACGCCCTCCCTCACTCCCTCCCTCTCCCTCGCTCCCTCGCTCCCTCGCCTTTGTGCTTGGCTTGCTCGCTCGCTCGACCGCGCTCACTTCGTGCGTGCGTGCGTGCCTGCCTCTTGTCTCTCCGTGTCCTCTCTGCTCTCTCTGCTCTCTGCTCTCTCGCCAACGTTCGTCTCGGCTCTGCTCTGGCCTTCGCTCTTTCACGAGCCTGCGCTGTTCTGTTCTTTTCTCGTGCACGGCAAGTGCCGATTGCCGATTGCCGATACAGTAGCAGGAACGACCGTCCGACAGAAGGGCTGGTTTTTCTCTGCGTCTCGAGAGTCCGAACGCACGCTCTTCTTCATCACTGCCATTGTAGCCTTGGTTGCATCACAACAACCTGGCTCCATGTTTCCTATCTGGGGCCGGTTACTGGTAGCGGAGCCCCTTATGTTCTCGTCTGGTGTGGTGTAGAATCTCTGTGTCATCTCGCCTCTCCTCTGGGCTCGTTCGCATTCGTGCAGTGCGGGGCTCTGGTTCCGGTTACGCGTCAGTCTTCTTTCTTTCTAGGTTTCGGATTTTTTTTATTTTTTAAATTTTTGTTTAGTTTCTGGCTGATTTTTCAAAATCTTGGAGTTGCCGACTGTGCATCGAGCGGCGCACGAGTCTCCTCCGTTCTCGATTGTGCGCTTCTTCCGCGTCTTGGCGTCGATTATCTTCTGTGCACTTTTCTCCTCCTGGCTGTAACTCGTGTCCGATTTCAGGTCTTTGTCTCTGCGATCAGTCTGGTGTGCCGATCGCAGCTTTGCCCTGGTCAGGTCTGCTTTGTCGCCTTCCTACCGGCTGATTTCTCCGTCCCAATTGGCATTCCCTCTTCTTTTTCCCACAGTCGGTGTCGAGTGCGGCTGTCACACCGCTCCGGACCGTACACATTTTCTTATTCACATTATCGGTATCTGTGTTACGCTAGTCTAGCGGGGAAGAGGTTAATTGCTCGAACTTTCCGGGTAGTTTTTTCGATCTAAGACACCTGGTTTGAAGGTCGCCTTTATCACGGGTCGATCATTTCTAGAAGAACTTCTCTCCGCTCAAAAGGACTTTATCAGTACCGGAAAGATGTACGCAATGGTGCCTCAACAGCAGGCACAGCAACAAGTTACGCAACAGCAGCAGCAGGAGCAGTTGCAATATCAGCAACGACTGAATCAGCAGAATCTTATGCAGCAGGCGATGCTCCAGCAGCAGCAGCCTATGTACCATCCGGGATTACTCACTGCAATGTCTCAGGTATACTTTTCTCGTAGCGTTTCCGGGAAACCTGTCAATATGTCTGCTTTAACTTTGTTTCTTTTCGAACAATGCTCATTTGAACAATTATGCTGTCAGTCAAAGAAACTCCAGAAAACGCGTAAGCTTATATGTAATGGCAACCTACAGATGAACCTGGTCCGTATGTATCTGCCATAACTTCCGCATAAGCATAGGCTCGTAATTCTCTCTTCCAATTATGTATGACTTTCTTGTGATTATCACTTTAACACTTCGGTTAGTAATTCTTTTCTCGAATTGAGGACGGCACTTCTTTCTCACCGAGCTATATGACTTACATTAGTCTGTCGAATCCACGAGTCGAGACCTAATTAATGTGCACTTTCACGGACTCCTGTAATTAGTCCTGCTCAGTTTGCTCGTTGCCTAATGGATTAACGGAGCATCAAGTTAAAGCGTAGTATAGAAGATTACGGTATCTCTGAAACTGGTCTAGGTAGGTCAGGAGCATACAAACTACTCATGTGCACTCGTTTGGACGTCTAATTGCTCTTTCTATGTGTGAGTGAATGTTATTGAGCTAATGTTTAGTCATGGAGCCAATCTCAGTTGGTTTGTCATCGGAGTCGTGTCTATTTTCTGTTTTGCTCTTGTGATTGAGAGACAAATAGATGAGTGCACAGAACAGAGTCAGGCGGGTACATTCACATCTTCTATTCGTTGTTTATTTTTTCCATCGCCCTTCTTTATATTTTATTGCAGATTGAGCCAATTCCAAGTGGAAATCTGCCTCCAGGGTTTGATGCAACTTCATGCCGCAGTGTGTGAGTGCGCTGCTGCTTTTGTCTTCCTTTGCAGATGTTCTTTTTTTAACCTTTCGTTGTTATAGCACTTCCCGCGAACAGGTATTCTGACTTTATCTTTTTCTTGGGGTATTTCCTAGATCTTGTTAGTAGCGTACGGGGTTTCAGTTTCGGTTGAACACATTAACGTCTTTTCACTTCCTGTAACAATTTTCAACCTAGAGGTCTTTCGTCGTTCATACTCAAGATGAGGCTGCTTGCTTTCTTTTCATTTCATCAATGCCTGGAAGACGTCCCCAAGAATGACCTCTCTGTTCCTCACGGGGAGTGAATAAGACCACCTAATTGAAGCAACTTAAGTTACCAATTTCCCTGTTAGCCTAGTGTTAACGAGCCATGTGAGGTTTCCCACAATGAATTGCCAGTTAAGGAGGGATAACCTAGAATGGCTCTGGGTCAGTGGATGATAATTGTATTTGGGATTGATGTAGGTATGTTGGAAACATTCACACCAAAGTGACTGAAGGCCTGCTTGCAGAGGTCTTCGCCAGTGCCGGCCCTCTAGAAGGGTGCAAACTAATCAGGAAAGAGAAGGTGATTTCCCGTCTCGTAACTTCATCGGACACTTCCCATCCTTAAGTTTCGTAACTTGTTTCAGAAGACGAAGAGATCATAAGAAACGAGGATTTAAAGCTGAAACTGGACTGGTATAAGTGATTGCTCCGCTTATTATATTTCTCGAATAGGTTTCTCTGGAAGTTCTTCACGTTCAGTAGTAATGTGTACTGATTTTGATTCTCCTTGTGAATATTAGTCCTCGTATGGCTTTGTAGACTACTTCGATCATAGATCAGCTGCGGCTGCTTTGCTCACTCTCAACGGGAGACAAATGTGAGTGGAAAGCGACTTCAAAACTTGCTAAAGTGTTGTAAATTTTCAGAGATGCTCTGTTGGTCGTTTATCTTCGTTTGTTATATCCATCCGATTTGCTATTGACCCTCAACCTTTCCGGGTCACTCTTATACATGGTGCAGAGAAGTTTTGTTAATCGAAGCTTACATTCTTCTCTTTATGATAGGTTTGGGCAGGCAATTAAGGTCAATTGGGCTTATGCCAGTGGACAAAGAGAGGACACCACAGGTCCTGTCTATCTTGATTTTGTTTCATGGTTACGCTGTTCCATCTCTGAGAATGTTGTAGTTCAGATTATTGTGCTTGAGGTTGCCTGAAGCTCATACATCAGTGGAATCCTCTCTTGTAGACAACTTTGCTGACGTTAGTTCTGTGACAGGCCACTTCAACATTTTCGTTGGTGACCTCAGCCCTGAGGTTACAGATGCAACCCTATTCGCTGCCTTCTCTGTATACTCAAGCTGCTCGTAAGTGGAAAATATATCGGCAACATTGCGTTACCGTTTTCACTGTCATGTATCCAATTTGGTTATTTATACTCTGTGAAGTACGTTATATATGCTTTGTAGGTGACATCAATGGAAAATAACGCCTTGAAACACAAGCTTTGATCTTGTTTGGCGGAACTTGCTTGTGCTAAGTTGAGGTGTATGGCTTGCAGTGATGCTCGCGTCATGTGGGATCAACGATCTGGTCGTTCTCGGGGTTTTGGCTTTGTCTCCTTCAGAAGTCAGCAGGTACAACTCGCCGACTGCGAATTATATTGTTTAGAAGTATATGTCGTGTACATTCTTTTTCCATTCAGAAGTTTCTGTTCTGTTTCCTTTTATTTGTGGGGTCAATTTGGAGGCTGTCCTCTTGCGGACAAATTTTTTCTTCTGATTGTAAACCAGACAACAACATTTGGACCTTTTTGGTCGACGACCGTGCCCTCGTTTTTGAGGCAAGGCCGATCCAAGATGTTTGTCAGTTCTTTGAAAAATGCACCGTGGAGTTTTCTCTAGTCTCGAAATGGTGTCTGTCCACACTCACCTTTCCTCAATGAACTTTCCCAGCTTGTGATTCTATGCGGTTCACAAGTGTATTTTTCAAGTGTTCAGGGTTTTAACATGTAGATTATATCTTTCCTCAGGAAGCGGAAAGTGCCATTTCCGAGATGACCGGTGAGTGAAATTCCAAGTTCCGATAATCTTTAGGAGTTTATCTCCATACCTGCTGAAATTCAAAATGTCGTTGGTTCATAGGAATGTCTGGAGAGTTAAATGAGTAAATTGACTTTCGGACTAAGTTTTGTGTGCTTTGTTGAAAAGGAAAATGGCTTGGAAGCAGACCCATTCGTTGCAATTGGGCAATTAAAACCAATATGGGTTCAGCAACTGAAGATAGCAACAATTCAAATGGAACTGTCATTGGTGGTGGTGTGGACCCGGCCATGTTGTCTTCTCCCCAACCTGTTCAAAAGCAAGGTAAGTGAACGTTGTATTAATTTGTGTGAATTAGCTATCTTCACAGACTGATGACTAGTTTCAATGGTCCTGTGGCTGGATGTAGTGATCATAGTTTACTGTATTGTTTAGTTCTATCAGGCCCGGAAGATGTCTTGCAATCTCTAGTTCTGATCTGGATCTCTGTATGTACCTCAGAGGTGCACCAACAAGATGAACAACATCAGGAGGAGTCACAGGGCGATGCCCCTGAGAACAATCCTCAGTACACTACAGTGTATGTTGGAAATTTAGCTCACGAGGTAAGCAATGATCATCGAAGATTCTTTGGATTTTTTTAATTTTATCTAGTGAATACATACACAGATCTTGGAATACACATGGAATGTTAAAATTTTTGGTATGTCCATGACACTCATGGTTGCCGTGAGATCAGTAGAGAATTAGATAGGATGTTCAAGAAAGGAATGGAAAAGTAAGAATCATGTGCACTTCAGGTAACTCAAGCTGAACTGCACCGTCAATTTCATTCATTGCAAGCCGGCATTATTGAAGATGTACGCGTTCAAAGGGACAAAGGTTTTGGGTTTGTAAGATACCGCTCCCATGAAGAGGCCGCTTACGCTATCCAAGCAGCTAACGGAAGGGTCATATGTGGCAAGTCTGTGAAAGTAAGTTCAGTATTTTTTTTGTTTGGGCCTAGAAATGAAAAGATGTTTGTTGCAAGGATAATGTTAGAATTCTGTTTGTTCCTGTATTTGGTCTTAATCTTTTGACTGGTTAGCCAAGTTGTCCGTAGAGAAATGTCATCCTTTTATCGTTGTAGCCGTCCTCTGGAATTGTCGAACATCCGATTGATTCGTCTCCATTATCGCATGGCTGCTGGCTAACTGTGTAACTTCAACTGGACAGTGTTCATGGGGAAGCAAACCAACGCCTCCTGGCACATCCTCCTCACCCCTTCCCCCACCTCCTCCAATGGGACCGTTTCAAGGAGTGATTGCCCAAACGGGTATGAATCAGGGTTATACTACTGCTGATTTATTGACCTATCAGCGACAATTGGGAATGGCCCAAGCTGGACCAGGTCGGGCGCTGCTTCCACTCCCTCACCAACAAGGGTTAGGGCTGGGTTTAGCTCAGGCTCCTTTGGGTGCCACTGCGAATCGTGCCGTGTATGATGGCTTTCAAGCAAGTGCTGCCCTACAGGCAGGGCAGATGGCGCAGCAACGCATGTATTACTGAAGGAACATCAGCTTAGCACTTGTAGACTTCAACGATGGGTTTTTTTGGGTTTCTTCGTGACGTATCCATCTTACTAAATTACCATATTTTCAGAAAATAAGTGTAGCAGGTAGTGTCAATCACCCTTTGTCCATGAAAGTCCTGGTAAATCAGGTCAAATTTTAGCATCCGGGGAACCTGAGTCATAGAAAAAGGCCTTTAGATCTCACATCTGATATCATAGAGAATCGAAACAGTTAGTTACCCGGGAAATTCATGGTGGTCGTGATCATGGTCATGTGAGGGTTGTATGAAAGTGGTGCTGTCATTCCTTTCAACAGGTAGTTAAGTTTTGTCTTTGATAGGTCGTGTCCCTTGCAATCACATCTTAGGTCAGTGTTCCTGTACGGGGAATGCCCAAGCACGGCTCTCAATAGGGTAGAGTGGCTACTCAAGATCGGGGTCTTGACTGCAGCAGGCATTTGGGAAAAGCTGGAGCTTGCCCAATGAATAGCAATAGCAAGGGAACAACGGTGTAAAAAGGATACAATGTTTCTTTTATTTCTGGCGAAAAGGTACTATCTTTCAATCATGAACAAACGTGCTCAGTAAAGGGGCGTTCAGAATTTTGTAGTCTACAATCTGATGTGGCTTGCATGAACCTCGTCATTCTTGCTTCTCAACTGTTGGCAAACATATTTTGATACTGATTGTGAGCAAATACAATTTGAGTTATGAGGCTTGGAGTGAAGTCAATCTAAACGGAACAACTCAATGGCCACTGTATCGACCCAGTAACTGAAGACTTGTAATTGTGCCCGAAGGCTCGCCTCAGAGGGCGTACTGAAAGCTGGCTGACCCTAGGACAGGAAAATTCATAGGGTCAACCAGCTTTTAATCACTCTAGATGTGAGAATGGCATGTATATTGGCTGTCACACTATCACAAACTATCCGAAACTATGAGAATCACTGCATCAACCTTACCTCTTCTGTCGCACAGGTCCTTCAGTCAAACACGAAACTTTCTCCCATTTGACCATAAGAACGAATTAGAGACCCTCAGATGGATCTTAAGTATTTCCTGCTGAACGAGTCGGCCCAGATAACATCCACCAGTAGTACATCTAACAAAGGTTGCAAAGGGTCTAAAAGAGTCCTGAGATTTGTGGCCCAATGCAAGACGAGTATGTTGTTAAGAAAAGGGCCTTAGTGCGTCATGTGTAACTGGTCGAGGACTTGTGTGGAGAAAGACTATTGGTGGTTTTGCAGTGGCTTCGTATTCCCTGAACAATTTTGAGATTTTTTAAATTCTTTCTACAGTTTTCTAATACTTTGAAAGACATACTTTCGCACATCCAGTCTAGATAAAGTCTTTAAGATTGAATTTCACTTGAACTGATAGTAGACAGTGTAGGATATGCTGCTGGCAGAAAAAGAATGTGGCGAGAGGCCAACAATAAGTGTACAGCATTGAGATGGAAAAGTACTTGAGGTTGACAACAAATATTTAATACTTATTCGAGAAATTGAATGACTTTTATTATCAATTAAATGACAATGAAAAGTATTGGAGTGAATTTGAAAATGCCGAATCCTCAAATTCACTCGAATATTTTTACTGGATTTTTAGTGTCGTCGATATCATTTGTAACAAATTTTCCAGTTCGTGAGGATTTAAGTTCTTGCAACCCAAGTTGCCAGTTGTACAAAAGATCACGTTGATTAGCTTTTGTTCATGTATTGAGAGGAGTTGTTTTAAACAATAATAACCCCATGTTACGGTGATATTCATATGACATAAAAAATCGGAAAACTTGGGCTTAAGAATCTCTAACAATATGTTTTGAATCTCATTTTTAACCATGGTATGTTATTTCCAAACCATGGCATAGTTTTAGTTACTTTTATCTCCCAAATTAGATTTCCTCCGCTTGAGAATGTATGAAGATGGAAAACTCTTCTTCTAAATAAATCTTCCACTTATCTGCGGTTGGGTACTCATACAATACATTGATATTTATTGTAGTAGATGATATCAACATATGGTGGAAGTATGAGGAAACATAAATCAGAGCAAATGTTTCGACAAACAAATAGAGTTCAATCAAACAAAGTTGAGAGATATTTTGACATCAGATTGTCGAATCCTGCAAAAAGATTAAATTGCTAACAGTCATACATTTGTATATGTATCAAACCATTTTGGTATTACGGTCCGCTACATATATATTGAGATTTGACCATGAGAGATAGATTATGAAGATTTGTCCTTGTTATTCTGAATGGATTATACTCTAACCCAAAATTCAATGTAATCAAGGAAAGATTGTTAAGCTTTGAAATTAATTATCAAATTTATTAAGTCTTTCAACAATTCAAGTTTGTTTTGTACTTCAACCTCTTGCTGTTCTAATTATACATATATGAAAAAATCCATCACTTCATTATAGAAAATCAAAGTTGGAATTTCTGCTCGCATTTACATCAATTTGCTAGCTTTGTTTTCTTTCAAAGCAAAACTAGAAGAAAGTGAATTTCGAGCCATATATAATTTTTCAAATTACATTATGAGAATTTTAACAAGAAAAAATGAATATTGATGCTTGATTCTAAATCAAGATTTCATACTATCACTTCTATTCATTATTTATTGATTCTTTTTATGTGTTTTAAAATTTTTTTATGATTGAAACATATTCATAAATTTATTTATCTTACATCATTAAAAACATAAATAAAAAAATAAAATTATTTCATGGATGATTTCTTTAAAATAAGTAAAGATTGATATGTTGGCTGATGGATGAAACCAAAGAATTAACATGACCCAGTTACCTGTGACAAATCAAAATAGTCGATGTAGCTTACATTGCAGTTGAGACAAAAGTACTTGGTGCCGGTTCTGAGAAAGTCGGATGAACTCAACGTAGTACGAGAGTACTACGGTAGAAGAGCGGGTGCGGGCGCGGGCGAGGGTGCGAGGAGCTCATTCTGAGAGCCCCTCGAGGGCAGCGACCCAGTTTTAGGTCGCGCGGAGCTAACCCTAAGTCTCTCTTTGAACGTCCTCTTCTGCGGCGTGTGTCTGTGCGGAAGCAACCATGGTATGTAGAGTCTGACCTCCATTCACTCCTCCTTTCTCTTTCCCGTTCCCCCCTGGAACCCCATCTCTTCGCCGAGTCCTCTCTCACGAACAATTAGCCGTGATGGTATGATCCTGAGTCCTAGTTTCTGTCGTTCATCGTGGTCCGTTTGGCATCTCTCGTTGCATTGTTGAATTGCGAAATAGATGGTATCTGATCTCACTGAAACTAAATGAATTTGATCAATGATCGTTCTCTGTTCTGTGACGCAACTGAAGAGCTTGCCGGATTCGTTAGGGTTTCTGTGGTGTCTCATCAATCGATGGAGTTCAGTGCGAGAAATCGATGTGGATGGAATTAGGGCTTTGGCAGGGTGTCTGATGCGATTTGTGTACCTTGTATAGGTGAAGTATGCACGTGAACCCGATAATCCCACGAAGTCATGCAAGGCCCGAGGGTCTGACTTGCGAGTGCACTTCAAGGTATAGTGCCCTTTTTCTGCAATCACTGAATCTGTTGAACTGTCCCACTTCTGGAGTATCGTTCTCACGAAGATCTGTCTCCTCGATCAGAACACTCGCGAAACAGCACAGGCCATCAAGAAGCTAGAACTTACCAAGGCGAAGAGGTATCTTGAGGATGTGCTTGCACACAAGCAGGCTATTCCCTTCCGTAGATTTTGCGGAGGAGTAGGACGTACCGCGCAAGCAAAGTCCCGCCACTCCAACGGACAGGGAAGATGGCCAGTGAAGTCAGCCACATTCTTGTTGGATCTTCTCAAGAATGCCGAAAGCAATGCGGAGGTGAAGGGTTTGGACGTGGACACTCTCATCATCTCTCACATTCAGGTTAACAAGGCTCAGAAGCAGAGAAGACGCACATACCGTGCCCACGGTCGTATCAATCGTAAGTTCTCAACCACACCAGCTCCAAAACAGTAGGGCACGCACGTAGATTATCAAGCTGTTTTGAAATTGATCTCACATCAACCTCGTTTTACATTGAAATAGGTAATGACTGTTGTACTTTTGTTCGCAGCCTACATGTCATCGCCTTGTCACATTGAGTTGACACTCTCCGAGAAGGAGGTGCCCGTGAAGAAAGAGGCCGAGACAGAGATTGCACCCAGAAGCAGGAAAGCTCAAGCCCGCCTCCGAAGTGGAACCTCATCTTAGAGTAATTCATAGGGAACGTTTCTAGTACACCCTTGCTAGATTTTGCCACATTTGATAGCGTTGGGTTGATACTTCGGCTTCTCTTTATAATTCAACAAATTATGAAAATCAACTGAGTTTTGACTGGACCCTACGCGTTCTGTTAATCATTCAAACGAATTCCAACCTAACTGCATCAATTGTTATTTTATCGTATTCTCGCGAACTATATGAATCAACTTGTGGTTTGCTGATCTACCTTCGAAGCGTCGGGTCTGAGCTCTTGTTGCAGTAGACATCTCTACCTTTTTTGAACGGTGAGAAGCCGGTTGCTTGTTATCGAAAATCGAGGTCTGTGGAACGTCTTCCCGAGTCTACGGTGCGAGGAGACTCTTCCAGTCTAGTAAATCAGTATTTACATTAGCGTGTTCGGGGAGAAGTATTAAGTCTCTCAAAAACTTGAAAGAGGTTTTCTAGGAGAACGTGGATGGGTATGATACTTAAGCTACTCCTACTGTTATGGGCACATTTGTTTAAATTGATACGCAGTTCTTGAGATCTGTAACACATGTGTCTACTTTGGAGTAGGGACGCATGCCGAATCGGCATCAACATTAGTTTCGGACACATTGTTTATCTTCAATTATGGTAATTTGTAAGGAAGTCTCGTTGCCTCAATTTCGCATGCTTTGTGAATCACAGAGAAACTGGAAGAAACGCAGTCAAATCAAAGTCGTTAGAATAGAAAATTTCAAAACTGTGGCAGATTAGTAACTCACATATCGGGAGAGATAAGTAAGATAGAGGCGAAGAAGATAGTGTATTTCAAGATAATGAAAGTGGAAGTTGATTTAAATCGATAATTTATTAATCTATGGAGAAAATGGCCTTGTGATATGGAAAGTGTCTAATACACTGGACGAATGTTTCGTTGATATTAAAAAATGCTTGCAAGAAAACATTTAAAAAAAGGCATAATTGCGAAAAGAAAAAAATATGTACATTGCGCAATGAAAACAACTAAAAAAAAAAAACTCTATTGGAAGATTATGTAAGGACAATAAAATGCACGATAATATCGCAATATAGTCAATCATGTACAATAACGACATTTAACTTAACTGCGATGTAATAACGTTGACATATCTTTCATCTCAACATCATTGTATACTTAACCTATCAAGTCATCATTACGTTGGAAAATTCTTTATCAAATTACACTCACGAAAAGGACCTTCTCTTCCTTAACATACAATTGGCTCATCAGCGTACATATAATTAAGTTTCCTTGTGTAACAACAAAAAACGACCGTAAATACCTTCACAATCCGAATAAAGACGAAAATTGTACATAATTCTTACCGATCTGGATATAATAATTGTCAAATACCTTCCCAGACTCGTCCATCTATGTCGCATCTCAATAGAATAAATCCATCTACACGTCTCGTCTCCAAATCTATACGAAACAAAGAAACTTCCCTTTCCGTGAAACCGTTACATATCATTGTGCGCAATACCTATCTGCATATTCTGTGGCAAAATTTTATTCGTCTCCAAAATATTTCCATTCCGGGCAACTTTTATACATCTTGTTACGAAATGACTATCTAAGTGACATACTATTGAACATAAAAGAATGTGTCGCGGATCTATGGGCTAGTAATGAACGGTAGGTCTAGCGGCTAATTCTTCATCATCCAGTTCCTCATATTCATACCAACTCTTTCCAGATTTGCCTAATGGTAAGGAGGGCCTTACAAATACTTCTACTGCCTTGGGTGTGTGAAGGACCAGCTCAATCGCATCCTCCGACAACTCATCATCATCTTCACTTACTTCTGCATCTATGTCTACGATATCCAAATTACTCCTATCATTGTCATCATCTTCTACTCTCTCCTCACTTTCGTCTTCTTCATCAGGAAAGCTATTTCCTATGGTGATCCATCCCAGACCAGAAATTGCGATATCTCCTGCAGGGTGTCTGCAAGACAAGACAACAGTCCAACGTGAGTTTAAAAGCGCTTCACGTCATGTCTTCCATTTAATTTACGTGCCGTTCGTGATAACAGTTCCATTCCAAACAGTACAAAAACTTACTTTGTTCCCTGTTTTAAGTCGAAGATTATGTCCTGCACCTTGCCAAGACCACCCCAGCTCTCAACTTTGCTGGCTGTCGGCGGAGTTAAAGTTCTACCGAGATTCTCCTGCACAATGCAAAAAATGTTTCAGTCCATGAAACACTTAGTTCTTGGGATGTGAAGTCTAGGTGGAGTAAAATGGATCACATGAGAAACCTGAAGGATATTCAGTAAACAAAGAAAACTAGTATTTCCAACCTCATAATAAACGTCAGCCTCCTCCGTCGGGCACCTCAGTATCCTGATTGCACTTGGGCCAAAAAACGTCAGTTTGAGATTCGCTGGTGCCTGCATCAACCAATTAAGTATCAGATTTGTTGCGTCGAGCACAAGCAATGAAAAAGAAAGATGAGAATGAGAAAGCATGAGAAAGAAGTATGAAATTGAAAACGGAATTGAATCATTTTCCAAGACAGACAATCTTGCGGACGCTCTGGAGAAGTTATCAAGGATTACCTTCACAATATCAATCCTGACGACACCACCCCAAAACAAAGAGGTGCCTGATAGGTTACCCTCTGTCCACATTCCGTCATCCAGTTCGTCCCATTCCTCGTCATTGTCTAACGGTAATGAATCTTCCGCCCATTTATTAGCACCCATCTTGTCCTTCAGAAAGTTATCAACAAATCCTTCATCAAAAAGATGAGAGTCCTCTTCGGGCTCCATCTCCAATGCTTCTTCCTCAGGTCCTTTGGGTCCAATGACATACCCTCGTAGCCGCCTCCGTGGGGCCAACAGAGCAACATCCTTTGGATCCACAACTGCTGCCATTCGATGATGGAGGTGAACTCCGGGAGTATCGAACAGTTTCTGTGATACAATTGGATAATTAAATGAGATTGTATCAGACAGCAACTGTCAAGCAAAACGGCCGACAGTGCACCTAAAGCACATGACCATAATTAATGACGAAGGATTTAAACTAAAATCTCTGACTAACAAATCTACTTTTCAAAGCATTACTTAACTGCTTTGAGGAATAAAATAGAACAAGTGTTGAAAGATACGTATAAGAGATAAAACACGGAGCGAAAATTTTCTGGAATCTGACTTGAAGAATGAATGAAGAAGGTTCATATTTCAATCACTTGAAAATCAAAGAACAAGTTGAAATAGGCTTCACAGCGGCAGATGTTGAACTTGGCATAAGGTTCATGGTCTGAGAGGCAATACCCCACCACCCGAAAAAGCTTCAAACTCGATGGCTCCCAGCGTAGTCCCAGGCATTGCTGATTGAATAGGCTTGTGGCGCAATGCAGCGGCGGCTACCGGATCCCTTTTAGACATGTCCTCTGTTGATGAACAATCTTTCAGAAATACCCATACATGTGAGACCAAAATTAGCAGACAATAAATGTTCTATCCGACTGAATATGTGTTTCAGTAGACTTACGTAGTAACGCTGTGACGAAAGCTGACTTCCCAACATTAGCTGATCCCTGCACCAAAGGAGCATAATCGAAACAAATAAGTGACAACTCTCATCATGGTGGTCTTTAGGCAGGTCCTTACTCAGCTGAGATTAGAAGACCATAAGCCAATGTAACAATAACAGAGGGTAACTACATCCAACATCAAACACCAACATAAACTTTGTCATAATAAGTAAAAAGAGATGACACAACAAGAAAACAAATTCATCGTTCTCGTCAATTGGATTATCAACAAAGCTTAAGCAAAATGGAGCAAATCAAGGAGGGAAGTATATACCAAAACGTAGACATCCCGACCCTGAACACAAGACATACAGATAAAGCCTCAATAAAATGAACCAGCACAATGTACTTCACCAGTCAACAGATAATAAAATACGAGCTCGTACATTGGCTGTTCGGCTAATAAGAAAGTTCACGTAGAAGCTACAGCATTTTATTGAAGCTAAAGAGAAGAAGATAGAGTTCATGTTAGAAGATTCCTGGACGAGGCTAAGTGTATATTTATCTTGAGTATGAACAAACCAATCTTTGACGCGTAATATCTGCCGCCACTCGAGAAATTCCAGTCTTGGCCTTGGAGCTGGTTAAATGGATGCTGATGACACTGCAAAAGGGTAAACGCTACAAAGCTCAGCACCATTTGGAAACTATTACTCATAGCAGTATAAAGTCAGCGTACTTTCTTCGAAATTTACACTGAAGATAAGTTCAAACAGTATATTAACTCCAACAGTCCTTGAGTACAATGAAAATCACACAACTAGTTGTGGACATGACACCACAAGAATTACCCACTTGAGCTTCTTGCGAAGAGTTGCTTCTTGAAGCCAATCGCTCACAGCAGCCATATCTGTTCCTTCGGTTAGAAGATCACACTGTAACAACATTGTCAGCGCAAATGCTGAAATACACCTTCTACTCTACACTTCCTTAGAAGACGGATTCTAAACAATGTAAAACTTACATTTAAGGATTCCTCATCTAAGACAACAACGAGACATGTTTGAGGTCAATTACCTTGGTCAGGACCAATATGATCGGATTGGCCCCTACAAGATCCCGGACTCGTGTTAAAAAACTTCCATTGAAATCTACGATGTCCACCTGCAAATACGAGTTAGAATGAAAACTGGAAAAGTTAGAGATGAAAGAAGCGCATGTTGGTGGAATTGGAGCCGTACTTCGAAGAGCATATAAAATATGCGATGCGACAGGAAGCGGTAATTCGAATGATAACAGTCTTGTAGTGGAGACAAATTATGAAATTTCCCACCAGTTTCACTATCAAGGCCTTTTGGTGGCGAAGATGTGACAACTGCGAACGCAACTCCTCAGCCAGGACGAAGCCTTTCCCATCTCCATAACCTCCAAGTCCCCCCACTGCCGGTATCATGTGACCTTGGCTCAGAAGCCTGCACCTGCCGCAAAGTACAGTCTTCAGCTGATGATGCTTCTTTTTCTGCTTTGCAAGATCAATGAGCAACAACAGATTCACAACACTTCAGATCTGCCAGAATTTTTCTTGTTTGTTCACTTTTTGGTAACCTGGCTAAACCTCAACCCGATAATGGTTCAAATGTTCTGAAGTTACAAAGATCCTCTCAATCGAGCCTTGGCTGTGCTCATGAATGGTAAGAGCCTGATTTTCATAGATCACAGTCAACATGAAGCGAATTCAGAAACTTCTAACATCGGCTTCAGTTATGAATGTCTGAGGTGCAGATATATACATAAAATGAAGACTACAAAATGCAGCCAAATTTTCTCTTGAAATGACCTTGCAAATCAAAAGAAGTATGTCAACAGCTGCAATTCCAGACTTTTCTTAACAAATGAATAATTTATTAAGGGCAGCCAGACTTACCACTTCAAATGTCTGAGGTGGAATGTATCCGGGAGATTCTGATTCTCGTGTTTGGAGTATAGAGCCGCAACCATAACAAGAAGGTTGGTTGTGATTCAGCTTGTTCACCACGGGGATGTCCTTCTTCTTCTTCTTTTTCTTACTCAGCTCCTCAGATTCATCCTTCTTACTACCTTTCAACAACGGCCCTTCTTTCTTCCTGTTTGCCTTTGCTGAATCTCTAAAGCTTTCATCAGTTTCCGAATTACTCTTCAGGATCTTCTCGTCCTGTACCCTCATTGCATTTCTCAAGAATCTCTCACCAGGACCTTCTACAACTGGCGCTACGTCTCTTCCGGGAACGAAAATTTCATCCCTCTCGGCTTGCTGAGGGTCTCCACTGGATTCCGAGGCTCCCCAGCCTTCACCTGGGCTCGGCCTTGAACCTGACTTCTTCCACGGTTTCTGCCTTTCGGAGATGTCGACATTAGAATCCCTGGAATAATTGCACCGACCTGAAGCAAACCCCTTATTGCCAAATTCCAAACGCTTCAAGCTCACGACACTCAGCGGTCCATCCCCTATGAACACAGGAGCACGACAATTCGTCCGCCGCTGGCAAGCGCTGCGAGCGAAATTTCCTCCGGAAAATCCTTTCCTCCCTATAGCAACGAGAGACCAATCGCGCTCGAGCGGCAGGCATGACGACCACCCAACCCCTTGCATCGCCATTGCGCCCAATTCCTCTCACTCTCACTCTCAGTACGCTGTTTCATCGACCAGACCTCGTGCTGTCTAACAGAGCCCTTAAACCCCAGCCCGCGCGCCCGGCCCGTTACAACATCCGCATCCCGTGCTGATGTCTTGATTACCCTCTGGTTCGTACTTGCCAGGCGTTTTATAAGGGCACCAAAACGATGACTATGGTTAGCCGAGAGATCAACCATGAGATCCGCTTTTGACTATATTACGGGCCCGCGATTTCAGCAATCAAACCACCCGTTTCTAGCCGGATCTAGAAACGGGTGGGTATGCTGACCCGAGGAACTTCCGAGCCTATCGACTTTCTCCCAGAGGGAACTGTGCAAATTAGCACATTCTTTGTATCAGAATGTGTTTGACCGTATTCGGCGAAAGGGTTACTCCTCCTCTCTTATCACAGTTTCGTCCAGAGCGATGAGGATTGACACTCAACTGGGAGTGACATTCGCATGTGTATATGCTACCATTTGATGCAATCATGCTACGTGATGCCTCTTCGAATATTGTGTTATTTATGCAACCTTTGACTTACCTAGTTATAATGATTCCAACATATAAGCTCGAGTAGTGTATCTGGGCTTTATCGTTATACAGTTTCAAGATATATCAATCCATCATTTTTTCTATATTATTGATGTTTATCTCTTTGACTAATTATACTGAGTGCATATTTCATCATAATATGAAAATTTATATGCATAAAATGATTAAATTTTGTGTTAAATCTTGATATTGTCTCAATGAAATAGTATATCTCTATAATACATATTTGAAAATCGTAAATTAAGCATGGATTTCACAACTGCACCAATTTTCTAAATTTAATTCATCAATTTAAAGTTTTTGTTATATACGATTTTATATCGTATAAAATTAAATAGCAAAAATGAGCTTAGTATTTCTTTTCAATATCAAACTCATAAGATGTTGATTAAATGTAATGAACTGTGTAATATAAGTGAAATAGTACCTAAGCCGTACTAAAGAATTACATCAATATTGACATGAGCCAAGTCAGATTGATGATATTATATAAAAATTTCCAATTTCAAAAAATATAATGAAATTTACTTCCAGAAAATAAATTTTTTCAGAACAGAAACAGGTATGTGAGTTCATATGCAAGAGTCGGAGTTTATGAGTTCTTTAATCTGATTATGACGACTTTCGAATTCTAGCTCAATATTCTGATTTTGTTTGTGAATTTTCATTGTTGCCACAATTATTTATTGATTTTTGTCTCAAATATATCTAACGGTTTTTTCATTTTTTTAATAATTTTTCTTGATACTCATATTTCTAGAGATTGAGCACATATGAAATATTATAATTAATGACTTCCTATACAAATAATTTATCTTGCAGTTTGAAGATTAATTAATGTTTGCATGTTGTGGATAAGCGAACTCTACAAATGCTTAAATCACAAATGGTTCGTAGAAGTTAACAAAGCATTATAATGATAAAAAACTAACCTTTCAATACAGAAGTCATTTGTATGTTTTTGTACTGTCACATGGCTACCAGAAGAAAAAAAATGACATCAATCATCTTCAAGTACCTTGAGATCACGATAACACTTTGAACAATTGCTGTGCTAAGCGAAGGATGGTGAAACAAAGCACTAATGAAAGTGTGATTTGATAAATTTATCTTGTGATACTAGGGTTTCTAAGGTGAAATAATATTGAACAATCCATTCTGATGATATCAACAATTTTCGAAACAAGTTTGTTCATATATACAACAATATCCATTGAAGCAAGCAAACAATGCAGATTCTAAAGTTTAAAAAATGAATGGACTATATAGAAAGTAAATTGATGTCATTGCTTCAATCATAAAAATTAATACATTATGTGAATTTTATCATTAATACTTTGATTAATATATACTATTTTCTTAACCAACAAATCTAAAATTTTTTGGCTTGTTACATTTGGCAAAATAAATATTGATTTTTTTGGATTTAAAGTAAATTTTGAAGTAACTTTTATTTTATTTTATTTTATTTTATTTCTTTAGTCTATAAGATGTTTTCATAAATCAAGCTTAGAAGGATGAAATAATCATTTGCTTCATTAACTATATCAAGACTCAATACAATATATAAATCTTCATATTTTTTGATATTATTAATGCAATGATTTTTATAGAATATACATTTTTCCTTGTGAAATCTTTCTAATCCTCTATAGACTGACTCTCACAAAAATTTAGCTCAAACTATTTTTGAGCTATAGCTTGTCATGAATCTAGATTGATAAAAATTCTATAAGTAAGCACATTCCCACAGAAATTTGTCACTGATTATTAAATATTTCTTAAATGAAATATAATGTCACATAAACATACTTCTAAATCTGCTAATTTTTTTTTAACCTTTTTATATATATCAGTTTCAATTTTACAATGATAATAATGACATTGTCTTCTTTAGACTTTCTTAACTGAGATTAATTTTGATATATGTATAATAAGATTACATAGCTACATATAATAGATCAATGTAGATAGTTTCTAAAAATTGATCCTCATATTATCACGACAATATGCTAATTGGTAACTTTCAACTTCTATTTATCTTAATGAAACTATTCTAATATAGAGAACATTTAAGATGAAGATAGATTTGACTCCTGTTAGACGATCTATTATTATCAAGTCAATAATTTTTGTGCTTGAAAGGTAAAAAAATTTAAGTGAAATTACTGAAAAGTACATGTGAAAAATTTGTCTTCATGTTAGGTATAAATTGCTTATGTTAGATAAGATCAATGTGACGGTAAAACTCAAGACATACACTAACACATAAATAACGTGGTTCATCCTCAACTAGAGGGCTACGTCCACCCAGAACTCTCAGCACCTTTACTTCAGGTCATGTCCAAAAATACTCACTGTACAAGGTGAACTCCGAGGTATTTATCCCCGGTCCAGACGACCGTTCTAGCCATAAATAGCTAGGACCCGAGATAGAACTAGAACTAGAACTAGAAACTAGAACTAAGCTGTAGCCATAACAGTATAGATTAATAATATACAGAGGTTAACAACAACTCAACAATCTCACCTTAACTCATGTTAAGGAATTTCAGTCACATGTCTTACCTATATTATTCTCTCATACCAAGATAGAGTAATAATATATAGAGTTAACTCAACAATCTCACCTTAACTCATGTTAAGGAATTTCAGTCACCTCTCTAATCTATATTATTATTCTCATACGAAGATAAAGTAATAATATACAGAGATAACTCAATAAACTTTCAGCAACTGGAATCTTGCAACAACTTGCGTTGTAGCACAGTGTCGCATGAATCTTTTGAAAATATCAACTTTGGTTAACGCATCAGCTAGATTGAGTTTATCGTCAATCTTGATTAGCTCGATCATGTGTTCATAATCTCCACCACTACCTTCTTGATCATTAATTATAAAACAATCAAACTTCCCCACAATCAAATCTGTGAGCAGATCATGACAAAGAGGTTAAGAATTCTCCCCTTATTTCAATGACTTAGGCCTCATTGAAAGAAACATCTCTAACAAAAAATGTTACAATTTTTCAAAGCCCATAGTTTACTTTTGCCAAAGCACAAAATCTAATCCTCATAAATACAGATTCTCTTACATGGGGATTGTCATCTTGACCACTATTCGTTGGCACCAAACCAATACCTACTCTCTACATGTCAAAAGTTGGAACACTTGATTGATCTCATGGTCATGAAAGCTGAAGCAATACAATGAAAGTGAAATCAATGTCTGCATACGTGTTTTGTAATTGATCTATCTTCGCCGTGAACGAATACAACATCATGGCAAATACTACAGGTCAATGTTTCACCTTCCTGTGATGTTCTCACATCCTTCCTCGTCACACATGTGGGCATATGTGACCAAAGTGGTACTTGTCCATTCTTGCAAAAAAAGTCGTCAATAACATTATTCATCACATTCTCATACCCGGATTAATTTGAATCTAAACCGCTATACTTTGAGGCCAATAACAAATTTTTTTGTCTGTTCATGATATTCAAATCCGCATGCTCCATTTGTCGAATGAAATTTTTTAGTAGCTTCTCACTTCAAGTATACATAACTTCAAAATCCAAATGACAAGTCAAAATTTGGGTGAATTTCAAGAAAAGAAAGTACTGTCCTGATAGATCATCTGCGACTTCCGTCGCCAGTGACCAGCATCACTCACAACCTATGTTGCTTGCAACTTACGTTGCACTTTTAACCCGGACTCTTGACTTATTGCATTGTCATCTCAGTCCGTCAAAAATCAAGATTGAAAATTAACCTTTGGGGCAATTTTCTCCGTCTGGATCATCGTTCAGCTACAAAAAAATGTCTAGATGCACTATTTGTGTCAAGAGTTTTCCAACGATACCCAATTTGCCTATACTCTGATGGGAAATATTTTTTATCTACATTTGAAAGCCAATTGTTGAAGAGAGGAGTAGCATGTCAAATTCAAAACCGAACACTATCCGACGAGACTTCTTCATTTGCTCCAAATCTTCAAAACTGTCTCTTGTGCGTTTCTCCCATCATATATATATATACTTCCATTAGATTTCATCAATCAACTCCAAACTAGCACTGAATGAAAATCTACTCTTTGAAAGTGTAGAAAAAGCTCATAGGAAGAGAATGCAAGAGAGATAATCCAACGCATAGCTACAGTGATGAAATGAAGCTCAACTCCATTCTGACCTCCAAACTTGACAACAACAAGTAGGAGAACACTTCGGCCACAACCTTAAGGGTACACCGTTTATCCCTTCACGATCCACACCAACAGCATTGCGTTTTCCAACAACGATTCAACCAACGTATCTTCCACATGTGAGGATCTAGACTGAGTCTTCGGTATCGGCAGAAGTAGTGGTGCGCACATAGAGAAAACTGAAAATGAATGTGATGCATATCTCAACATTCCGAATACATCACAACTTCCATCCGCTTTACTTCAAAGCACAAAGCACGACCATCTAGTTACATTGCTTCACCGCTCATAGCTGAATAAACCTTCATCAAAAATTGCTTACCCAATAAT